TCCGTGGGCGTATCCAGGGGGGGGGGGTTGTGATGGGTGCGATCGCACCCCCCCCCCCTTAACAATAAAAAAATAAAACCCTGAGAAAGAAGAAGAAAGGAGCTTTAAAATGCTGCTCAGGCCACAATCGTACCCTCCTGACTGAAAACCGAAAACTTTTTGGCGATCGCATCATGTTGGCTATATCGTTTCAAGTGAAGAATTAAGAACTGAAATCGGGGTTGACTTAGTTTGAGCAGAGACCCCGGGGCAGAGACGTATAAAAAATATATGTTTTATATGTCTCTGGTTAGAGTCAGTGAACAAAATCTAATCAGACAGACGGATAAATTAATATTTGTTTTAATAAATGAGTATTATAGGTTATAGGCAGGCCCGTAGCCAGGGGAGGGGTTTGCAGGGTTCGGGCGAACCCCTCTGGCCAAAGATTCTTTCAAAATCATGCAGTTTTTCACCATTTTGAGCATTTCTCGCGTGATTTTAGCCATATTTGGACCAAAATTGTCAAATGTGAACCCCCTAGACATTTTTGAAAACTGCCCCCCCCCTTGGCAAATCCTGGCTACGGGCCTGGGTTATAGGCAGTATCATGGAACCAAGGAAATGTGTATTATTTTCTGTTTACTTCGGAATTCAGTGAACCATCTGTAGATTGAAAAACAAGGATCAATAAATACAACTACTCAAAATCAAGCATTAGAAATCTATTTTTGACTGGACACATTTTTGTTCTCGAATGCCAACTTTGATTTGAATGATTTCAATCAAATAGGTAGGTGTGAATATTTTCGAAACAAATGCATGATATATAAACATATTTTGTACCAAATGTGTGACATAAACGGCAATTGCGTGCAAAGACCGAACGGAATGCGTTCGCTTTTTTCGCCGTTCGGTATTTTACCGTGTCGGCATTTCACAAAAAACGATTTTTAAAAATTTCAACAAAATCCGTGATTTGCGTGATATTTGATCATACACGCTAAATTGATGCGTGATTTCTATTTTTCCAGCAAATGCGTGAGGGTTGACAGGGCAGTTATTACATCAGAGACATATAAAACGTGACCTGATCGGGAGAGGATTCGGGTTGTACACAGTACACACATTGCTATCTCTTTATGCATGTTTAATTGCCAAATTACTATAAAAAAAAAGCTGGAGTAACATTAAGTATTTATTTAGTATTTTGTTATCACACATCAAAAGGCGCATTTGAAGTTCAGAAAATGCAACTTGGATAGACATTATGTATATAGTAACTATATATTTATATGTTATGAATTTATTTTGTATTCAATTCGAATTCTGTTGAGTTGGACTCCTTGAACATCCCCCCTTTGCTACGGGTATAAGTACCTTCGGCACAGGAGAGAATAATATTAGACGTCTGCAATGCAACTAATTAGAGAGACCTAAAATGAAAATAATGTAACAGTGTCTACTTCGGGTAACTGTTCCTGTAGAAAATATACAATTGTAGTCCATCACAGAGTTCATTTATTTCACGAAAGCGTCAAAGGACATTGCTAAACACTAAGATAAACAAATTAACTTCCGCAGAAACATCCTGTAGAGGAAAAAACAAATGGCTTTTCAAAACGGATTAGAATAGCCAGTCTGTCTGATTGTATACATGTAATATATTAGATACATTTTAAATTAAATGAATTTTGACGGATTATGTGATTCCTGGGAAATGAAAAATAGTTTATTTTTCCTGGCTGTTTAATGAAAGTACATTTAAAATTCTCCATTCATTAACATCTAACGGGCTTTGAAAACCAGGGATTGAAAACGAGGAATCAATGGTAATTAATATGATCTTAGAATTTGTACACGTGTATGAGAGGTGCGAAAGGCAGGCTGACTGTGCGGTCGCCGTATGGTTGACATGCGGACAATGTAAGAATGCGAAGGGTAACTGTGTTCCCCTGGTCTGGCCGTATGATTGCTACAAATGGATATGCATGGATTTATTGCACTCGACAGAGTTATGTTTATGTCTTTTGAACGGTGGCTCTACCTCGATGCATCTGTTAATAAATGACACTATAAGCTTTATTGGATGTGAATTCACCCTTTCAAATTCAAATTCCAAATAAATAAAGCTCACAATTTAAGTGTGACAAAAAAGTGCAAAACTGAAAACCCGTTCACCTATAGTGCCCGACATTACGTTAATAAACAATTTCCACATGTTGAAATATATTGCTATTTGATTGATTTCAAGACAAAACATTTTGGAATTGTTTCACATTATGTAATATTCCTCGGATTTGATGCATACACATGTTTCACAATCAGAGACAAGGGTCTTATACGGGGTCTTACATTTGGAAAACTAGATCCTAAAACAAAACTATTTTTATTTTTAATCCCCTCACCTTGTCATCAATGTCTATGTCTGCATCTGGTTTTGCCCACCATTGGGAGGGAGCCGATATACACATAGATTACTTACTTGCCATGGACGGGGGGGGGGGGGGGGGCACAGAAACGAACAATCTGGGGTCATAAAAGATAATTGGGGAAAGGGGAGGGGAGGTGGTGAATAGTGAAGTGGTGAATAGTGAAGTCCGGGAGCGAAGTTAAGGGGTACTGAAATCTTTCTTTTGATATTTAGTGCTTGAATGGAGACTCGTTTCCACTCCCCGCACTCTAGTAAAATTTAAATATTTGATCCAAATGAGTTATTTTGTATCAAACTTGCACTCCGATTAATTAACACTCCCAAGATTGTACCGCTTCACTATTGTCTAAGATAATTATAATGAATTCACGGGACACTATAGTCTTCCTTTTAAACTTTAGTGGTTTGATCAGAGACATAAAAACAATTATAAATATTTGATTTAGGGAGGTATTTGCAATCCAACTCTGATGATACAAGACTAGTTAGCCAAGACTAAATCCCGGGGACTAAATTATGAACTCATTTATCATTTAGACTATTGAGTTCATTAAATTATTATTCCATAGATATCGCATTTAATCCTGTCAACACAATCTTGGTATTAATTGGCATGATATTTAATCAGAGAGACGGTTTAAAAAGTTGTTGATTAATGATTAAGTATTAGGAAAAATCCTAATTCAAAGTTTTTGTTCTCTCGCAATAGCAAACCCCTCGCCAGGCAAGCATTCTTTAAAAACGTGAAGTTGCATTGAGCAGTTTTGAAAAATGTCCATTTTGAACCATCGCCTTGTATATTTTTATAACTGCCCTTAAATCACGATAACCGTGATTCCCGAAAGCTGAGATAACTATGGCACACAAATACTAGTAGCCGTTATGGAAAATAAAAACACTTTTGAAATGGGTTAAAATGTCGCAGTCTTACGTTGTCTCCGTTAACAATGTAGCTTTAATATTAAGACATATTGATTTCAATTAATAAAGTGCCCACATTTTTCTTTCATGGAGCGCATTGAAGCAATCCAATATTATAATAAAACCGCTAATAATCTATGGGCGCCCGTGTTTTTGCAAGCACGTTATAAATGCTAAAACTAAAATATATCTTTCAACTGCTGCACTAATCACTTCTGGTGACTTATTTTGAAAAATCATTTATATTAATTCATTACAACTTTCAAATGTCAAAACTTAATTTATCAATACCCGCTTTTATTAAAACACTCAATATGTCTGTGTCAACAAGATAGTGTCAACACGTTGTGTCAACAACATGTAACCTAATGTAAACAAATTATACGCAAGAGCAGAGAAATGTATCATCCAGTATAATATGTTTTTCCCAGTTGAACCAGATGGAATATAACAGCTGATAACAGCTGATAACAAATTAAAACAAATTATACAAGTATCAGAGGAGAAACTCCAAAAAAGTCCGTATCATTCATTGTTATAATTATGTCTTATACATAAACCTATGATAACAGGTTAAAACGAATTAAAACAACTGATATGTATGTTTAATAGGTTTATGATACTGTATTAATCATGGGATTTTACATAGTGCAAATGGTGCCATTTTTGAGATTGGATTTTATAAGAGCAAATATAATACATGGAACATATGGCATTTAGCATTCAATTAAGCATCAATGCTTTAGCATATCAAATACATTTCTTTAAAGAGTAGTATCTCCAAATATTTGCTCAATTGGTATTGTTTAAACGTCTAAATGGGTTTTGGTGTACAAAGATGATAAAAGCAAATATATTTCATTGAGGAAAACTATTCAATCAATCATGCAAGTTTATCAAAAATATAACTGGTATATTTAAAGATGCTCTATTGGTATTGTTTGAACAGTTAATTAATGATTGAATACCTTGTAACTTAATGTTTTGGGATTTTATTATTTGCAAAAGTATTAGGTTGATTTACTTGAAATTGTACAAACAGTATGATTTAAAGGTAATCAATATGAAATATCACAATTTGGCGAAATGTCAAAAAGTTTTATAAAGAATTCTTGGAAGAAATTGAAAACTCTTGTTTAAATACATCATCGTGTGAGCAAATTTTATAATGTGAATCAAAAGACTTGTTTAGCCATTTTTTCAACAGGAACTGTATAATTTATATTCCATAGAATAGCTTCGTACCAAGTAAATATACCTACTACGTGTAATCCAACATTCAGACTAATGACGCCCTAATAAAAATGCATATGAGCTGATTGGCATAATTTTTACAGAGTTTTATCTGGGGTACAGTCAGTCTTCATTTGGCATCACAACATAATAAAACTATAAATAAAATAAAAGTTGTTCTCAAAAATATATTATTAGAAGAAAAAGTAAGCAGTTCACATGGAAACAAGCTTTTATTAAACTTTTGCCCAAATTTTGAAATTAATGAAAGGCACCAAGGTTGCACATATATCTGATGAATAAAAAGTTTAACTTATACATGAACTGCATAGATTGTGTTATCCATGCACCTGTATATACTTGCAAATCTTAAATCTCTATGGAGAATAACCCACACACCCATACCTTTTCCCAAAACCTGATGATCATGATGAATAACATATTTACAGACAGATTTTCTAAAAAGAAATATTTCATTTTAATTCATCATTTAATTCTAGGTTTGGTGAGATCTTCAAGATATGTCATTCTACTGGTCATAGTGCTATATGGATTGTTCAATGTGGGTTACATCATCACACGGACACATGCACCAAAAGCAGAGACTCAACTACAACGATCCTTGTCCCTCGATCATTTATTATCCAATCAAAAAGGACCAGACATCCTGAGGAATTATCTCAGTAGTAGATTAGAGAATGACACGAATCGGGACAAGAGGCTCACTGCTCATAAAATCCTGGACCTAATGCTCAAACTTGCTGCTGGGGCAAATAACGGCTCAGAGGGAGATCTCATCGATGATCTAGTACACATGCAAGGAACTGGGCAACTTTTTGGTGAGAAAAATATCGGTGAAAAAAAAATAGGAAATGGTATACCAATACTCAATAACCGGCAACAGGATATGACAAAACCTGCAAGGATACGTGTAGGAATTGTCGTGTATATGCCTTACAGAGCTGATCGCTTATACGAAATGGAGGTTTTATCTTATATGCACCCATCGTGGCATTATGTCACGACTCATAGCTCCATCAAAAAGTCAATATCAATACCAGGAGCATCTGAGGTTCCCGATATGAGCCTTGATTTAATAATCTACTGTCACCCTAAAGCATGCTGTTCCGCCAAAAAGGCAAACTGCAAATTATGGACCCAGAATGCAATAGAAACTAACCAATCAGGTTGCTATTATCATCCAGAGGAAGGGTTCCCAGAAGCTCAGGAATATGGATACTATAATACATTTGCTTTCTTACGTGATGACAATTTTAAACAACGTGCTATGAAATATGATTGGTTGATTCGATCGGACACTGATGTGTTTATTGGACCAGCAATTTTGGGGTGGCTTCCACATTTCGATTTCATGACAGGAAGTGGAGGATATGCGTCTGAATTCAACAGAAAACGTCTTCCAGAAGTTGCATCAAGGTTGCATCTAAAGCACCATGGTATGACCAACATCGGAAGTACATGGTACGGAAAACCAGAGCTATTCATAAAAATAAGTGAACTCACTTTAAAGTACTGTCAACATTTTTTCAACAATGAGTTCAACAAAACTTTAAATGGTATACAGGACGTCATGAATAAATCGGCATTTGGTGAATGGCCGACATGGTGGAGACCAGTTTCTTTACTTTACGCTGGAGAAGTCGTAATAAATGACATATTTCCAGACTTTAATAGCTCTTACATTGCTCAGCTTGACTTTCCAAGTAGTAGTAAACTAAATATTCTTTCATACCCCCATATGCATTGTTGGCACGGTGAAGAAGAATTTCAAAAATTCAAATTTGTTAACAAATTACGTGATATTATTAATGGGGGTAAAGATAACAGGACAAATATTTATAAATCCGATCGTGATGTTAGTAGCATGACTGTGCAAGACTATTGTACATTTATTGCATGGAATGCAGTGGCCAATAACAAAATTGTTGAACATTTACAGAAACCCGCAGCAACATGTTCTTAATGAATGATTCGAATCAGCTCATTAAAATAAACAAGTAATAGCAAAGTGTTGTGTCAAGCTTGTTCAGTGGTTTCTCCAGGATATATCCCTTAATATAAGATGGTGCAACATTTTCATAATTCTGGCGAAAGTTGGTCAAAACATACCAATTCTTAGAATTTTTTCTCATTTTCTCATTTTCAAGTGGGTAACAATGAATTTTCAAGTGGGTAACAATGAGTTTTCAAGTGGGTAAGAATGAGTTTTCAAGTGGGTAACAAAGAGTTTTCAAGTGAGTAACAATGAGTTTTCAAGTGGGTAAGAATGAGTTTTCAAGTGGGTAAGAATGAGTTTTCAAGTGAGTAACAATGAGTTTTCAAGTGGGTAACAAAGAGTTTTCAAGTGAGTAACAATGAGTTTTCAAGTGGGTAAGAATGAGTTTTCAAGTGGGTAAGAATGAGTTTTCAAGTGGGTAAGAATGAGTTTTCAAGTGGGTAACAATGAGTTTTCAAGTGAGTGACAATGAGTTTTCAAGTGGGTAAGAATGAGTTTTCAAGTGAGTAACAATGAGTTTTCAAGTGGGTAAGAATGAGTTTTCAAGTGGGTAACAATGAGTTTTCAAGTGAGTAACAATGAGTTTTCAAGTGGGTAACAATGAGTTTTCAAGTGGTAAGAATGAGTTTTCAAGTGAGTAACAATGAGTTTTCAAGTGGGTAACAATGAGTTTTCAAGTGGGTAACAATGAGTTTTCAAATGGGTGCAAACTTTGTTGAAAATCTCAAAAGAGTTATATAGAGTCCAATATTTCAATGCAGGGAGATCACTATTCTGGATTAAGTTGATGAATTACGACAGGCAGGATTATTAGTATAGAAAATATATATTTATATCCTCCAAATGCAAGGCTGCAGACGTCACTGGCGGATCGGGGGGGGACCCAGAAAAAATTCTGGGCCAAAAAGGCCTTAATGGCGCAAAAGTAGCCTTTTTGGTCATCACTTGGCCTTTTAAGGCCTTATTTTTAATTATAGGCCAAATTTTGAAGAAAATGGGCCTCAAAATTTTAAAACTTAGGCCCACTTTTTGGTTTTAGGGGCCCAGAAGTTTTTTCTCAGACCTGAAATTTGCCCCCCCCTTGTTGGTTCCCAGATCCACCTCTGGACGTCATCCACTATGTTCCTTCTTAAGCCCTGAATTTGGAGGGTGAAACATTTATTGTGACCTGGAATGCAGTACCTCCAGTAGCAGATATGCTAACATTGCAACACTGACCCCTTGTTCAGTAATGTTTTGGTTTATTTAGGTAGAGAAATAAATTTTCTACATACATTTATGAAATGTTCCATTTTTTTGAACCACCCTGTAAATATTGTCAAATTATATGGCATAGGTTTTTATCTATAACGCACCCTGTACAGCTTGAGAATTTTTTGGGATTGGTAATTTTATATTGATGAATTGATATTATTTTTAAGAATAAAGTAACAATCATACAAAAAGAAGTTATTTTTAAAAATTACCACAGAATACTGAGTTTATAAACATATAAAAATAAAATAGCTATACAGCAACACCATCATAAGAAAGTGTAATATGCTTTTAAGTATTCACATATGAATTTCCAAAAATTGCTCTACTTAACTTTTTCCAGTTAAGGTATGATAATAGTTTATCATAAAAAAACATGCTGGCTTTGTAACACTATCATGTGGTTGAAAGATGATTCCATATATTTGAAGATTGCATTATGACAATTTGTCTCCCACTTCATTTATGAGAACTTCCAGGTGTAAAGGAAGATATATTGTCAGTAGAAAGACAATAAAATCACAGATATTGTGTTTGAATGACTATCAAGACATATCTAATGGTACTCAGTTGTTTTGAGCTTTTCTTTATCAGAGCTTATGGATCCAGTGCCAAGTGACAGATTTTGTACTTCATTTGTGAGAACTTCCAGATGTAAGAGATGCATTATCTGTTGTTATACAATAAAATCTCAGGTATTGTGTTATTATTATTATTTAATTCAATAGACTAGATGCGAGTAGAAATAATCTTGATTTACGTCATTAAATATTCAAAAAAAATTGATGAAAATTGTTGTACATATTAACGTGAAAATTAACACTTCGAGTTTTAGTATATTATACTGTCAAAAAGATAGAAATTATGCAAATGCTCCTTAATTGTCTGATAAAATCATCAAAATCATATGAAAACAATAACACAGATGCGAGTAGATAGTTTCCAGATTCACCACCAGGTGGCTCGTTCGGGTCAGATAGCATGGCGGGTATAGTAGAAAGTTCCCTTTAACTTAAATTACATCTATTTGTGTGGTTCAATTTTCATATAACCCTTATGTATCTAATAGTTATGCAAATTAAAATATGTCCAGTAAAAGAAAATGTTATCTGTCCAATACAAGAAAAGATAATTCACTTTTTTTGTGATTTTGTAACATGGGGTCTATGGGGAATCAACCCGAACAAGAAGTCACATTTTCAAAAGCTAACCAAATGGTCCATCAGTGAATTTTGCGACACAATAATGGTGACCATTTTGAAATTAGGCAAGCTCATGAACCAGGAGTTATGGGGGTTTTCTGTATTCATGTTGAACAAAAATAACTTAAAACTGGAATCCTACAGACAGAGATTTAAAATCAAATGGTCCAAAAGTGGATTTCGCGAGACAGATGGACAAATCAATAAAAAAAACAGATATCATTTTTTGCAGATTTTTTGTAACAAAATTGTGACATAATAATGACATGAATAAATATAAATAAATATGAATAAAAACTACGAAAATAATGTATTCATTCAAATTCTGCAATATTTCATTGAACCACGTCTTGAATGTTCCATATGGCTCACTGTCTAGAATTGAGTATTCCTTGAAATCTATCAAAAAGTTTAGGGATGGAAGAACTAACTGAAAGTCGGAGGCATTCTCTATATCATTCAAACTTTATTCGATAGGATAAAAATGATTGCATATTTATGTTGCTTTGACTGGTGTATACAAGCATACACACACATACATTACTGGGTCGACTTTTTTTATTAAATATTGAAAACCAAATCACATTGATTATGCACAATACTTTAGTTGCGAAATATGCGAATCAGCGCACACAAGTCACCACCTGTCATTTGTTACAGATGCAGTCAATGATGACTATGTCACCATCCTGGTAGTGACATAATATGTAACCACTTCTGGAAGTGACATAAGAAAACCTGATGCATCAAAGAAAAAAGAACTCATTTAAGTCTTGTAAAATGTTAATTGAATTTGGCAGCAGGGACTTGAGATGATATGCAGGAGTTTCACTGGAAATTCGCACAACAGGCTAAATAGATGAAAACAACAGGCAAAATTAATGGAAATCAAAAATTTAACATGGAAAAGTTGAAAAGTCCCTAAAAACAACAGGCGATTTTGTGAAAACAACCAGTGAAAATGACCTGTTGCCTGCTGTTAATGAAACCACTGATATGACAAATGAACAAGAAGATGGTTGAACAGACGGATGAACAGATGAAAGGGCTTGTCTATATCCCTAATGGAACATTATTCAGTGGGGTAATATTTCACTTACCCTTGCTATCCTCTGGTTGACCATCTCTCTGAACACTTGCTGCGTTGTCAATGGTTTCCTCTTAATTTTACTCTCTTCTTCTGACACAGATTTTCTGAAAATAAGATGGTGGGGGGTTAGTTTCAAGGTACCCTGTAATCCAAAAGCTAGTTCAAATAATAACTACACTCTGACAATTTTACTTCAAATTACCAGGAAGTTTTCAAATATTTAACAAGGCATTTACCTGGAAATGTCACCACCAGACATTTGTTACCAACACTGACCACCAAATGTCAACCGCCAAAACAGTCCACAAAAATTGGAGACTATAATAATATGTCACCACTTTTGGTGGTGAAATAACAAGTTTCATGGAATGATGTCAAGGGCCAGGATGCATTACTATGGCAACAAAATGTTATACTTTAATTCAGGAAGAGCAGATGTCATCATTCCATGCATTTCAAGAATAACATCTTTAAGTATAATTAATATATTCTTTCCTATTTGTACAACGAACATAAAGAACGTTAACTTTAAGAATTCAGATTAACAGATTTTGATCAATATTTAAACTCTGGTGACAAACACATTTTATATTTGTTGCTATGGCAACTAAAATAATTGAAGTGGCATCTTAGATTTAAAGAATTACATAAAATACCATACACATGGTTTCCCTTTGGTATTAAAGAATCTCATTTTGACTTATATAATTCAATTAAAAGAAAGCCATTGCTAAATATTATTTATTTAAGTTGCTATACCATCTGCATGAATAAACAAATATATAACCAACCAACCTGTTAGACCATAACTCCATGTTGTAGTTATCTGGGAGCAGTGGGTACTCATTAATGACATAGTCTATCTGTAGGCTATTCTTATCAGGCAGGTAGTCTGTTGTGATTGGCAGAGAGGCAGGAGATGTCAGCGATTTCCAGTCAACAGCTACAAGCATTTTATACATTATTTTTTGTTTATTAATGTTAATCTTTTTTTATTTATTGATTGTTAACCAAAGTATCTGATTTTATACTCCATAAACGTTTTTTTTCTTTAGTTCATGGACACCCTTAAAATGAGTTGCAATTCAATAAACGCACAAGCAGATTGTGCAACAATGTAACCAAATTGCCCATTTTTTAACATATTTTTATTCATCCTTTACATTTACTACAAATTCATTGTCTAGGCATTCTAGGTAGTTAATTGCCCATCTTACTGCACCAATGTAACATTGCTTTAAACTCAACCAAATCAACACTCTTTCCTTTTCTCTCTCCCTCTCTCTCTCCTTTTACAGTAAATAACAATAATAACCTGTAAAATAATATGTGAAAAAACAACATTGCTTTAACAGCAATAAAAATGCTCACCAGTATACATCTCAGGAGTCCATTCCTGTTCTCCAGTTGGTCCCCATGCGAATGACTTCTCCATATCATCATGGGTCACCCTCTTAAAATACCCACTAGCACCAGATGATTTAGATGACTTGATACCTATACAAACGTAAATAAAAAAAAATGCATTTATCTGTTTGTTATGATGTCATTCTTAATGGTTTCTTGGAAGAAATAAAATGAAGTTAGTGCTTATTTTCACAGAGTTATTTCTGTACTGCCTGCACAGAATAACATCATAAACCAGGCCTGGTTCATTAAAATGGATTTATTAGATCTATTGGTCAAATACCTTGATTAAAATGGTTGTTCGGCATTAGAATTTTGAAAAGGTGGCTGTACATATTTACACCTTAAATGAATTTGGTAATTTCTGCACTTAAATCTTCAACTCTTATATTTGGTCAGTTATCTTGAATTTTAATCAAATATTAAAAAAACATTGCTCTCAACATTTTACACTCTGATCTTTGTTGTCGTTTTAAGACTTTCTCCTATCCTTTAAACCCTACTCTTACCCTTTAAGCCCTACCCCTACCCTAACCCTTTAAACCCCACCCCTACACTTTAAGTCATTCCCCTACCCTTTAAGCCCTACTGTTACCCTTTAAGCCCTACCCTTCCCCTTTAAGTCCCACCCCTACACTTTAAGTCATTCCCCTACCCTTTAAGCCCCATCCTTACTCTAAACCCTACACCTACCCTTACCCTTAAGCCCTACCCCTACCCTTTAAGTCCTACACCTATTCTTTAAGCCCTACCCTTCCCTTTAAGCCCTACCCCCTACCCTTTAAACCATACTTCTACCCTTCTATTACCTTGATCATAGGCTGCAGATACACTTGTTACGCTATTACCCATGCTTTGTGGAAGATTTAAGCCAAGGCTAGCGTTACTTTGAGAGGTGGGGAGCTTAACTACTGTGTCTTGGCTATCTGCAGAATCAGTTGAGAGAACGGTGGGAGACCTGCCTCTATGCCCTATAGGATAACTGCTGTAAATAAGCAACAGTCATGTCCTGGTGTAATTACAAATATATTTAGTGTTCGTAGGGATGTGGGTCTTCATATATAAGCAATAGTTAGTTCCTGGTGATGATATTTATTTAGTATAAAGTGCTTAAGGGGGTGGGGAGGGGGGCTCTGGAAATAATTAATTGTCATTTAATTCCTGGGTATGTTACACTTTCGGGGAGAGGTGGCTCTTCAAATAAGCAACAGTTTTTCCTGGTGATGATATAAGTATAAAGTGCTTTGGAGGGAGGGGAGGGGCTTTGCAAATGATCAACTGTCATTCATTTCTTGTTGTGTTAAAGGAGCTTTCAGGGAGAAATTGCTCTATAAATGAGCAATAGTTATCTCCTGGTGTAGTTATCAATATAAAGTTATTTTGTCTAGGAGAAGTGTTGGGGGAGGTACTACATGTAGTAATTGAAATATGGATCAGGTCACTGCAATGGCCGTAGTGTTTCAATATTATAAGCTGTGCCTTCACCTCAAGTAGGATGCATGTGCTCCCATCCTGCAAATAAGCTGGCAATGTCATTTATAATTTCTTTTAGTAAATATCAAGCAACACTGATTTCATGATAATTCCCAGAATGCTGGTCCTGCTGCAGAAGCAATATTTCTAACTTCTACATTTTTTTTCATTTTGTAAAGAACATCAGGTATCATGAAAGTAAAGGTAGGATATATGAGGGGTGGGTATTTTTTGAAAGTCCCATCTCATCTCAAAACGTGGACCACTTTTTCCAAAAGATCCATTCTCAGAGGTCTAAATAGGTGCATTTTTTGGATCCATCTTGTGGAAAAAGATCAGGCCAACACTGTGATACATGGTTGAGGCCTTTTATATTATGGTTCATACTCTTTCTGGAAATGTCTTAGAGAGAAATAGTGAGGGTTTGGCGATGAGGTTTGTATATGGTGAATATTTTGGTGTCGTACATGGGTAACTACTGGAAACTAATGAATGGGCATCTACAGATCTAGTGTTTTTGCTCAATTAAATTAATTTTCCATTGTTGTTTATAGTACAGGGTGAGATCAGAGGGAAATCAAGGGGATTGGTAAAGGCCCCATTCCAAGCAGATCCAAAGTTGCTGCAAGAAATAATATTAAATGCGTACTCATTGACAGTTGTGTCATGTAACAATGGTGGTTTGAAGGCAGTTCCCCATCTTGAGAGCCAAATGGCTTATCTTGGCTATTTGCTGCATAGGGGGCAGCACTTGGGATATTTGACCCATAGATGGCAGCACTTTGACTATTTGCTCCATAGGGGGCAGCACTTGAGATATTTGACCCATAGATGGCAGCACTTTGACTATTTGCTCCATAGGGGGCAGCACTAGGAGAACTACTGCTACCGTACCACCCTCCAACAAAATGAAGGGGTGTTTTCGGAGCCTCTCTTTCAAAACTACCACCAGGTGTCTCTGGTAAAGATTGGATAAGAGTGGAGCTAAAAATAAAGACAAACATGGCTTCTATTAGGGCTAGTAAGGATTTTAAAACATTGAAAATTACAAGGCTGACTTGTCATTCCATGGCCCATTAACTGTTATGAAGAAGAGCAGAGAGGATTAATAAAACGTATATACATGTATAGAACTGACCCCTAAAACAAAATCATGCTTGGATATACAGATCCTCATCAATAAAAACAAAAATACGAGAACCAAACAAGATACAAAAATACATATGCTGGACATTGAAATGCCTTTTACCATGTAATCTATATAAAAATGCAAATGTTTTATGATGTGTACAATTTAATTTTATTTCATTTTTTTTAGTTTGAATGATACATTGCAGATTAATAGTTCACTAAAGATTATCAACTGATATGGAAACTTGGAAATCCAAGAAGAAAATGTACTTGATTAATTAAAACTAAATAATTTGCTAAAGAGCGTAATTTATAGGAATACCTGCTCTCTTCACTGTCACTCTGTATACGAGACCTCTGTAATTGCTGAAACAGAATAACAGAAGTAAATGTATATATCCAGTATAATAGTGATCTCCTAATAGCATGATTACAGCAACTGGGTACCAAACCCTTTTCATGCCGCCCTGTTGGAAATCTGTTTGAAAACATTGAGATATTTGGAAGCAGGTTAAAATTAGAATTAGCAGATTTGACCTTTAGTGGGAGTTTGAATATGGAATTAATGATAGCTCCTTAATTATCAAGGCATAAAAGAGTGTTACTGGACTTTGTTCAACCTTGCTCAGATTGGGTAGGTTAGATCAAGGATCACCTCTAACTCAATGTATCTGATTATTGAAAAGGGTACATTTAGGAAAGAGTGGACTACTAATATGTAAGATCAGACATAAGATCCAAAATCAGACATAAGATCCAAAATCAGACATAAGATCCAAAATCAGACATAAGATCCAAAATCAGACATAAGATCCAAAATCAGACATATGATCCAAAATCAGACATATGATCCAAAATCAGATATAAGATCCAAAATCAGACAGAAGATCCAAAATCAGACATAAGATCCAAAATCAGATATAAGATCCAAAATAATACATATGATCCAAAATCAGATATAAGATCCAAAATCAGACAGAAGATCCAAAATCAGACAAAAGATCCAAAATCAGACAAAAGATCCAAAATCAGACATAAGATCAAAAATCAGACATAAGATCCAAAATTAGACATAAGATCCAAAATTAGACATAAGATCCAAAATCAGACAAAAGATCCCAAATTAGACAAAAGATCCAAAATCAGACATAAGATCAAAAATCAGACATAAGATCAAAAATCAGACATAAGATCCAAAAAGGATAATAAAGAAATTCAATGAACAAGACTTTACCCTGAATCTATACCCTAAGGGTTACATAGGGTAGAACATAATCATTGAATAGCAAATTAAAGATCTCCAAACTTTAAATACCATTAACATATCTTTGCTGCTGGGTGATGAACTGTAGGAGTCTGAGGTACTCTCACTATGGTAGTGGTGTGATTGCATTGCACTGCCAGATGGTCCTGAAATAACAAAAATGACGATGTCATTTTGTGAAGTTCTGATGTGACGTCAATTTGCCAAACCAAACAAGGTATATTATTAACTATTAAATGTTTATGAATAGAGTAGACATCTGAAGAGATACATTAACATGTGAAAATATGATTCCAATATAGTAAAATCAAAAAATAAAATAAACTCACCAATAGGAAAGACGTGTACCCAACGTCGTCTATTCGAGGTCAATTTGAATTTCATCGTTGCAGGCTGGAAAGGGTTAATGAGGGCACGTCGTTGGCGAGTGTCTTGACGTAAAGTACTTTTGCACTGATACCCCACAGGAGATCCCGCACTCCCAACCACTAGTCGCTCACTCTCATTGGTCAGATCATCGTCGCGATCTGTGGTGGAGGAGCTAGTGGAATTTCGACTGACAAAATTCTCTACAAATTAAATTAAATAAAGATAGAAAAAATAACTTTTGAATGACACATCATTGTCCTTCATTTTTAAGTGACATCACAAAATTTCCAATTCACATTGGACAGTTTCTGATTTCCGCCTGACATCAAAAGTTCCATGACACCACACTTTTAGTTCTATCTAACAGATATAAGATATATCAAATTTATTACTCACAACTTATATTAAATAGTTCCTGATTTATAGGTGACATCACAGTTCCCAATTCATAAAATAGATCACAGTTTCTAATTTATAAGTGACATCATACATATAGTTACAAATTCATAAGTGACATCACAATTCCTAAATCATAAGTGACATCACTGTTCCTCATTAATAAGTAACATCACAGTTCATAATTGAGAAGTGACATCACAGTTCCTAATTTATAAGCGACACCAAAGTTCGTAATTTATAGGTGACATCAAAGTTCATAATTGACAAGTGACATTACAGATTCTAATTCTTAACTAACATTACCTGGCACATGGGTCAATGATGTGGAGAAATATTCTGCAGAGGCCACAGATTTCATAGCAGGAATTCCTATAGCTTGGGTCGACCCAGGACTCTTCTCTCTTGTCTCTCTCGAGTGAAACGAAAATTCGTCAGAGATGTGACGTGTGCGTGGGATGTGATAGCGACGTGCCTCGCTGATTGAGTGAGGCAGGCGCTTGTTTACAGCTGGGGAACTGCGGATTTCCCTCCTGAAGCAAGATAGAAAATGATTAATTTATCAAAATTTAAAGTTGAAGACACAAGCATTTTTCCTAGAATTTTGACAACATGATTTACCAATAATGCCTGCCCAGGTACACAACCAGCAGTACAAGACAAATCCAATAAAGCACTTTTTCAAAGAGCAATATAGTAGCCGAGACAACACAAGTCCCAAGTCTGTATATTTACTCCCACTTCTTCACTTTTAAGAGTTAAGTCACCACATTTTGCATGCACATTCCTTGGAGAAATCCTAACATAGAATTTCATTGGTTTTGATTATAATTTATTTGTTAAATATTGGGAAACATTTGATTTTGATTGGTCTATAATCAAAATTTTCCATTTTGTGCAACAAATGCAACATTTTGACGTTTTCAATAAAACTCCAAGTTATAAATGACAGATACAATTTGGTGTCTCTAATCTTATTGACAATAACTATCACTAGTTATTTTTACAAGTCATTAGATCGTGCATTTGAAGTGTACCCCAATGAGAAATGCATTCATTGATTGTGACAAGAAGTGAATTGTCGAAAGAATGTTGGTGTCGCACCATTATTTTGCTGCATTTTGGTGCTTCTCTTTCCATTAAAGGTCGTTTTGGTACCACTGTGATGTCATAATATATAATTTGATGTCATAATATGGGCACCAAATTGAAGCACACATTACAAGCTTTAAGATGATACCAAATATGTCATCATTCATTTGATTAAAATGGTAACTGGAATAAGCTCAAAAGGTATGCCACTCCCCTACCCCATCTATTTTTCAGGTCATTGAAACATGCCAAAATCTCAAATAATGCGGACATCTTCATGGGTCGTTTTGGCCCCATTTTATTTAAAATATCATGTTTCTGCATACCATTTTTTTCTCGGAAATGTCTCAACTACCTAAAACAGTTACATTTGTGCTGAATAAGAAACCATTTGATCATTTTGGAGTTATTACACCAACAGTAGAGACTTTTATTAATTTCATCAAAATGTTGCATTTGTTACAAAATGACAAATTTTGGTTATAGACCAATCAAATTTTAAATGTTTCCCTATTTCTAACAAATAAATTATAATCAAAACCAATGAAATTCTATGTTAGGATTTCTCCAAGGAATGCGCATGCAAAATGTGGTGACTTAACTCTTAAAAGTGAAGAAATGAGAGTAAATATACAGACTTGGGACTTGTGTTGTCTCGGCTACTAAAGACAACCATCCAGACTAAATATCTAGAATTATCCTATGAAATATTTTCATTACAATGTATGTCTAGCCACAAAGTATAATCTTGGATTTTAGAGAGCAATTGGTTGAGCTAACAATATATTTTGGAATGATTCATCAATGTTAAAATCTTTGATATTTTTGAAATTCTTAAAATGATATATTTACAATTCAAAAAAATACTCACGTTCCAAGCTTGACATTTGACTGCGTGTTTGGCTTGAAGAATATTTTGCTGTCATATTCATCATAGTCCATGAAGGGAAAGTTCTGGTCTTCATTGTTGAAGTACTGGGTGTTCTTGTTACTGAACAGTTCTATAATTCATGACAAGACAAATAATACTCTATTAATATCAAAATAGGGAAAGTTCTGGTCTTCATTGTTGAAGTACTGGGTGTTCTTGTTACTGAACAGTGACAAGAAAAATAACATTCTATTAAAGCTATATATTAATATAATAGTTCTACACCCTGCATCCTATATCCTCTATTAACACTGCTATATTGGTCTTAATTTGGATAGATGTACATGTACTGTAAATGGGATACTTATGAAAACAGAATGAAATCCTATGTTCTTATAAAACATGTGTGTAATACGATAGATAGGGGCATTCTCAGCCATGGGGCATTCCCATACACAGCCAATATAATTCAGGATCGAAACGAAAAATTCGGTGCTGTCCCGGTACCGTTTTGGCACTGGACCAGTCATTCCATTTGGTGCCGAAACGGCACCGAAACGGCGTCGAAAATCAGATTGCATTTTGGGGGTGTACAAACCCTAGGCATCAGGTGAAAATCCAGTACATTGTTAGACTCTACAATATATATCACTGTATCTATAAAAAGATGTGTCTAATTTGAAGTTTCCATTATATAAAACTAAGAATTACTGAAGATTGTTCGAGAATGCCCCGTGTCTGAGAATGCCCTTTTTAATATTACTTTTTGATTTCTATGTTGAATGTTGAGTCTCTAAATTCATAAGATTTTCTAAAGTTGTTTCTACTTACTAATATCTCTCTCTGGTTCACTATGGTTGAGAGGGGTGGGCTGAAAGGTACACAAGCAATATATTAAAACACATTTTATATGAGGTCATTTCAAGAAAAGATCATTTAACACGATTTGTCATTTTCAATTATCCTCCATTGTACCAACATCAATTTTGCAATATTTCTAAATATTGATTGAAACTCAAACATTTGCAAAACTTTCATGAAAAGGGGCCAAGGGTAACAAACATAATATATATTTTGTTAAATCATGGTTTGCTTTTTCATTTAAAAAATATAATTTCATGTATTGATATTCTCATATGTTTCCAGCTGAAATAATCAGTTTTTGAATCCAACTTAGTCCTTCTTAACTTTTTTTAGAGATAAAAATTCTAATTGATCTTGTTTGATCTGATCTTATCTAGGCTAAAAGCAAATAAGCAGAGGAAACAAGAATAAAATAATAAATTATTTGAAATTGATTGAAATTGAAGGACAGCTTAATCACAATAATCACGTGATTAAAAAGTGATTATTTCCTCATTAAGCTGGCCTTAAAAGTTGAATAGATTACCAAATGAAGAATATTTTTCTGGTGTTTTTATGATTGTATGAAGAAAAGGGCAATACTGTTAAATCATGGTATACCATAAAATGGGTTTATTAAAGAGGCAACAAAGGAGAGAAAGTTTAAGTGTTTGGAGCAATATAGGTCATCCAGATAACTTTAAAAATCAAAAATTTATCATGAAATAAAGTAAATCTCTTGAATATTTTTTTCAAGAAAATGGACGCAGTAAGGAACTTTGTAAAGAAAACATTCAGAAATTGTAACAATTTGTTAAAAAGTTCCTCTGTTCTTTGTTGCGACTTTAATACAAAATAAAGTATTTTCCTGGTGTTTTTATGATAGTATGAAGACTGAGGCCCAACATTGTTAAATTAAGATACATGTTCACCATAAAATGGATTTATTAAATACGACCAGTGGATGTGCGGAAAAATATCAGAAAAACACCAGAAAATATAAACAACAATAAAAGAAACATTAGAAGGTGGGATAAGATTAACATCATTATTGTCTCATTGTAACTATGGCAACAATAACAATAAACAATTTGTAAAATTTTGAATCTGTATCTAAAAAGCGCAAGAGGAATGCAAGCATGCAATGTGAGACCACGTCTATTGTCATGACAACATGACAACAATATGTAGAAAATCTTATGTGCTTTTTAAAATTATTAGTGTATTTTATTGTTTTCAGATTATTTAGTCTTTGTTTGGTGTTTTTAATATTGTATAGAAAGGTATAATGAAAAATTACATAAATTGTGCTTTACATATGAATTACGAAAGTGTCAACATGTTAAATATGGTATATGAGTATATTGATTAGTTTCTAAAAAATAAAAAAATAGCCTTAAATAGATTTCTTCAGCAAATAAAATAATTTTATCATATGAGTTCCCGAAATATGATAATAATTTATCATATTCTCAAATACACATATTCAAGTTTAGCAATATTAACCTGACCACTGGTCAGGATTGCCAAGGGGGGATCAGTTTTAGAAAATTCAAGGAGGAGGTTTAAATTCAACAATGATGAACACCTCTGAGTAAAAGAGGAAATATCTAGATACTCATGCCTGGACCTGGCTATTGACCATTGTTATTTAATCAAGAAAAAATTAGAAAATATAAGCATTATCTTATTTATGGTGTTTAATTTGCAAGAGTGTGTTTTAAAAAACGGTTAATTAAAGAAATATTTTTTCAAACAATCATTTTTCTCAAAAGGGACAATGGAACATAAAATACCAAACAGTAACTGGTAGATTACATTTTAAACAATCTGATTTTAAGCAATGTGAAAATTGTCATATTAAAGTACTTGTACAACTACTATCCTGCCTTAAATACTTGTACACTACAATACTGCAGTACAAAAGCAGGCATATTGATGATGTTTATCATTAAAACATCAAATAAATTAAATTGAATTATACTTTGAATCCTATACTTATCTCTTAATGGTCATATATAGTCTCCCTATGCAATAAAATTGAAAAAATAGAAATAAAAACATAAAATTTAAAAAAAAGTAAAAAATCTACCTCATTTTCCCAACCAAATTTATCGATTAGTGTATATAGTGTCTTCTGTCAAGAATTTTGAATTGCCACCACCTTGTAAATTATTGCAATTTGTTACAGAAATGTAACAATTGTTATGGATGCCAACTGCTGAACACTAATTTTGCAATACAATAACAAAAAAAAACAGCAACTTCTACAGTAGGTGGTGACATAATAACCTGTTAAAATATACCCTCTTAACGTGTGCCCTCTGGATAAACCCCATATCCAAAACCAACCAGTAAATAAGCTTTTTATTTAACCTGTACCTGCGCAAGAGTGAGTGAAATGTATGTGGGTGAACAAAAAACATATCATTCATGACCAATACCAATGGGAGATATTAATAAACAAAATGGACTATTAATGAACTGTATACCTGGTTTACCATTAACGTATCTCCAACAGACATTACCCCACATTACATGCATGCAACATCAAGCAAAAATAAAATGCTATATCTGAGATCATCAGTGAAATTTACAGTCAATCTCTTTTTTTCATTTTTTTCAAGGGTTTGTGTCTTTTCCAGAAAAAGAATAGCCCACTAGGCTTTAGATTGGGGGTGCCGTATGGCCCATTCACTAATGAACCTTCCCTAATTAACAGAGTTGGAAATTCAATAAGATTGACTGTAATATGCATTATCCCAAACCCAACCATCTTCCCATGATGCACCACTGATGTCTCAGCCAATAGCGTGCTTGCTTCTATGAAAGAGGTGCCAATAAAGAGAGGTGACATGCTGGTCACATGATGTTAACCATTATACAACCTTCCCTGTCCTCGGTTTAGGTACTTTGGTTCTTGGCACAAACTTGGAGTTCAACTGAAGCTGGAGCTGGCTCCGTGATTGGTAGAAACTGAAAAGAAAGACATCTGATTGGTCACTTCACCAAAAGGAACAACATCTGATTGGTCAATATTGGATTTGGTTTGATAACAAAACAAATTTATTGAAAAACCAGATGAATAATCCATTATAATATACATTAAATGGTAACCAAAACCTTTTTAAATTCATTGAGTATTTATTTAATATCAAAACCCCAATGAACTACTATTTACCTGTGATTGACCCAGTGAGGAATATTATAGTCATCTCCAACATCATTTGTCACACTCGCATATTTGTTGTGAAACTGAAAGTAAACACATTCATCCCATGATTATGCTAAATGTAACAAACCTGGATAGCAAGTTGCTACTACAGCCTTCTACTTTGGCAGCTCAGTCGGTAGAGTATCACCAGGCTTTGGATTGATTCCCATTTAATTTAGCTAGCTTTCTAAAATGTCTGTATCTGCACAAAAATATATACGAGGGGTGATCCAAAAGTCTTGGACGCCCTGCTCTAATTTTGTTGGTTTTTGATAAAATTACTTTAAACTTTCCAATAATAAAGACCAACAACCTAACTACCTTGTGTATTAATTTCATGGAGAAATGATATGTTTTATGTAGTTTTCTCGACAGTTTTTTATATAGGGACCCTGCAACCCGGAACAGTATTCACACATGACAACTTTCAGCCTTCAATGTTGCCACCATTTGACTTGTTTTGCAAAGTCTTGACCAATGTCTTTCTTTGAATTGTGAATGTTAAACCATGTTAGTTTACTTACTTTCTTACTAGGCAACCAATTAATAGTCTTGTTCCAAAGATATTGTTAATGAATACCTTCTTTTATTAACCCTCTTACTAATCTGTGGAGGGTTATGGATTTTACCTTCCACTAACATTCCTATACTTTTGATGTCTTTAGCATTTGCCATTGCACTCTTATGCGAAATCACATATATTTGCATGTTAACATGGTTGCTACTCAGTATTATTAAAAAACTAGTAAAGTTGCATCGCAATGTCACACTGATATTTGTGAAAATTTTTGTATTTTTAATGACCCTAACTTGAATTCCTGGTATGTCATTAATTTTTCACAATCCAGGCCATATTGGTAGGTTGTTACTTTTGCTATGTGGGGACATAGAAACAAACCCAGGCCCAGTTGATGATTTGAAAATATTATTCACAAATATAAATAGTGTGAAGGCAGATTCTCTGACAAGGTTAGCATTTTTAAAAGAATTTGCATTAAATGGTGACTTTCATCTGATAGCACTTTGTGAATCAGGCAATGTCACTGATGAAGATTTGAACTCAAAAGATTTTTTCATAAGAGGATATGGTAAACCTAAGTATGCTTCAAATGAGGGAAGAGGTCTCTTGTTATGGTCACATGATAGTATTGAGGCTAAAGTATGTGATACATTTATGTCCCACGATTTAGCAAATTGTTGGGTAGAGGTTAAGGCTCAACATAACGTTTTTATGTATGGTTTTTTCTACCGCTCACCATCAATGTCAGCAGATGCAACTAGACTTTACTTAGATTCTTTAAAGTTAAATATTTCTCAAGTGCTTTTGCTACCAACAGATGGTGTAATATTAAATGGAGACTTTAATGCCAGAAATAAAATTTGGTATGACAACGATATTGATAATTTAGCTGGCTTGGAATTAAATAATATTCTATTTGACCTAGGACTACAACAGTTGGTAAATGAACCTACACGGATTACAAATGTTTCTAAATCATGCATTGACCTTTTAATAACTGACTCTGATCATCTTCTATCTGTTACTGTTGACCCGCCAATTGGAAACTCAGATCACTGTACAATTGTCAGCAAAGTTAGGGTAAAAATTCCAAGAGAACCCTCAATTAAGAAAACCTTATGGCATTTCAAAACAGAAGACTCTGACTTACTGAATCAAAAAATTTCAGAAACTAACTGGGATTTTATTTTGACCAACAATGTTAATAATGCCACAGAGCTCTTTGTTAGAACTTTTCTAGATATAATTAAAACAAATGTATCTCATAAGACTATTTCAACCAGGTATGATGATCAACCTTGGTTTTCCAATAACATCAAAAAGGAGATTTACAAAAGAAACAAACTTCACCATAAATATAAATCCACTAACATTTTGACCTATCAAACGCAATTTAAAATTCAAAGTAAGATAGTGAACAAATTGATTTCGGAAGCAAAATCTGAATATGAATTTAAAATTCGGGAAAAAATTGAGAACACCTCCAAAAATTCTGTTGACTACTGGTCTTTGATTCGCGACTTACTTGGAAAAAATCAAGTTACATCAATTCCGGTTTTATTTGATCCTAATTCCAACTTATCAGCAGTCACCAGCTCTGATAAAGCAAATGTTTTAATGAAATACTTTGTAAGCAAGAACATTGTCACTATTCCAGAGAATTACACTCCAATATTTAGACCCAGAACTCATCATATTCTTCAGGAAATCAAAACTACTCCTGACGATGTATTTAACATTTTAAAAGATCTTGACATTTCTAAAGCACTTGGGCCTGACAATACTCGTATATCTAACAAAATGTTAAAAGTCTGTGCTAAATCTCTAGCAATACCAACTGCTGAGCTTTTTAATAAAATTTTCAAAGAAAATATTTTTCCTGATATATGGAAAGAAGGATTCATAACCCCCCTTCATAAAAAAGTGAGAAAGGTTTGATTACAAATTATAGACCTGTAACCCTCTTAAGCAGCCTCTCAAAAGCAATTGAAACAATTATACATAAACACTTTTTATCATTTCTTTTAGAAAATAACTTGATTTATAAACTTCAGAGTGGCTTTTTACCGAAACACAGCACAGTTAACCAATTAATCAACATTGTTCATGACATTCATGCTCAAATTGACAATAGTCAAAATGTCCGCTCTGTTTTCCTTGACCTGACGTCAGCTTTTGACCTAGTTCCGCACAAACTTTTGTTACTTAAACTTAAAGGTTACGGTTGTCAGGAAAACTTTATTAAACTGATGACTTCATATTTATCCAACAGAAGAGTAAAAGTTAAAGTGAATAATGAGTTTTAGTTTTAGTCTTAGTGAGTAGTTGTGACTAATGTAATCATGTAATGATACAATATGTCAATAAAAGTTATATATAAAGCACAAAAAAGCGCAGATTTGATTTTCACGGGAACTAGAAACTTACTTATTGAACCTCCCTCTTTACATCTAGGAGATGAACTGATACCAAGATGCAACAGTCATAAGCACTTGGGGCTAATTCTGGACCAAAATTTGAACTTTAATGACCATATTGATCAACTTATCACTCGAGTAATTTCTCTACTGAGACCTTTAAAGAAACTTAGCAAACTTCTTAAGAGTAAACACTTGGAAACAATTTACAATGCTTTCATTATGCCACATTTTGATTACTGTGATATAATTTACGGTAAAGCTTCAAATTTTAAACTTCAGTGTTTAGATAGATTGCACTACAGGGCAGCATGTTTGGTTTCTGGTGTTATACATGGGTCAAACACTGCTTCTGTTCTAAGTTCCTTAAACTGGAAATCCCTATCAACTAGAAGAGATGAGCATTATAAAATGTTTATGTTTAAATGTAGGTACAATTCTTATCCACCTTTCATTTGTGAATTACTTCAAACCTATGAAAATACCCAGGCTAGGCAACTGAGAGATACAAGACATTACTTAATTCCTACAAAAGCTAGCAACTCATTCCGGAGGTCAACTATTTTGAACGGAATAAGAATATGGGACAATTTACACCTTGACACGAGAAGAGGTCAACCGATATCACGCTTCAAAAGATTAGTAAGAGATTACAGGAGCCCTGTCTCCATGCTACCCACTACCAAAATGGTAAACGAAATGCCTAGATATGTTGAATCTGCTTTTAACAAACTCAGAGTGGGTCTCCTTTTAAAATCACAGATATATGCTCATAATTTCACCAGTGTTAGTGATCCCTTTTGTAAATGTGGATTACCACAAACACCTTCTCATTTTATCTTAAAATGTCCTCTGCTTGTAAACGAACGTGAAACTTTATTTGCAGGACTGCGAACTTCAGATCAACATCTTTTGGTTCAGAATTTGAACACAGTTGACAAAATTCAGTTTCTTTTGTATGGTGATGAAGATTTAGATAAATCATTAAATGAAAAAGTAATAGAACTTATGAGTCATTTTGTTAATCAAAGTCTGAGCCAAATTGATCGGTTTGGCTAATTTTTGCATGCATGTGTTAACACATCCCTGGCCCATGGGATTATAGTTTCTTATATGTGTGAAAACATTACTTTGATAAATTTTTAATTTTAATGTATTCCTATTCATATTGTCTAAAATTGCCGCTAATGTTTTTTTTATAAAACTTTGGCAATCAATTGCATGTCTTATATTGTTTACTAAAGGAATAAATTTATGTATAAAAAACCCCCCAATTAATTGTGTTTTAATTATAATGTCACATATGACAATGATCATATATGTCAAATTCTAAGAAAATGACATCAGACAAGCAACCCTCATTCTGGTATCATTTTTACTCCAAAATGGCTGCTGAAATGCAGAACATGAAAGAAGTCAAAGCGGAACAAAGAATACTACAAGATATTTTCACTATTATTGACCTTTAGCAGCTACCATATGCACAATACAGTCTAGATATGGCTCCGTGTGATTTTCTTCCTTTTCTCGAAGTTGAAAGGAGGATTGAAAAAAAAAGTTTTTTACTCATTGGATGAGGTTAAGAGTGGCACTCCAGCAGCATTTGTATCACATAAGGAATGGCGGTTTCATAAATGTCTTTCATCCATAGGTAAAGCGGTATGAAAGATGGGTTCAAATTCGTGGAAAATATGTTGAAAAGTAGGTCTTAATATGTGAAGATGATGATGGCAGATGACACTCAGATTGAAAATCAGAAATTCTCTCATATAATGACTGGTGTTAGGTTGTGCACCCGCACCTAAAGTATTTGCCATATTATAACAGTTGTGACGTGATTTGCTATATTTAAATACCATTCCGGGTGGCAGGGACCCAGTGTTAAAAAATCTTTACCAAAAAGCTAAAATATATTATATTCTGTTGAAACTTATACACAAAGTTGTTGATCTTTATTTTCTGAAAGTTTCGTGTAATCATATTAGAAAATAGCAAAGTTAGAGCGTCCAAGACTTTTGGATCACCCCTCGTATATGGATTGTATTTTCATTGAATGACTAAAATATATATATGGATTGTATTTTCATTGAATGACTTCAATCTATGTTTATTTTTTTAAGTTGGAGTGTAAGTTTTTCATAAAATGTTTTCAACAAATAATTCCAAATCTGAATCTCTCATACATCCTCTACATACATACCTTAAATAACGGCACCACGTGTAAAGGCTGTTCCCCCATACATACTAGATCAGATCCTGCCCCACAGTCTATGGACCGTTGCTTGGTAATATTGTTGAGTTCTCTATCTACTTCGAATACTCCAGCGCCAGGTGTTATTACGACTGAAGCCTTACATGTACGGTCAAAGATACGGTCAATGTAGTACCTTTCAAACACTGAAATAGAATATACAATATACAGGGTGATCCAGAAGTAACGTCAAAGATGTTGTAATTTCAAAAGTATTCATCAGATCTTCATGAAATTTGGTATACATGTACCCACAACATTTCTGAGTTACCATCTCAAAGATTGGAATTCAATCATTTCATTGGTTGAAATTATGGTTGCTATAGTAACCCGATATCACGTAACCCGGGGCAAATTACTTAACGTGTAATGCGTAATCTCAAAATATCAACAAGATCTGAAATTGTTATATCCTCAACATTTTATTTCACAACAATATAAATCATACTATTGCACAGTTACTAATAATAGTTCATTCTACATAATTGCCACCATTTGCAACACATTTCTCATGTCTGGATACCCAGAATTAAATCCATTAGAACTCATTCCTTGTAGGGCTAGTACTACGGCATTTTTCAATTCCTCACAGGATTGAAAATTATTTCCACTAAGGTTTCTTTTTAGTTCCCCATACAAATAAAAGTCACTGGGGGCAAGATCAGGTGAATAAGGGGCATGTTCAAGTTGTTGAAATCCAAGTGTTTGGACTGTGTTGCTGGTCAGGATTGCAGTGTGCGTAGGGGCATTGTCCCAATGCAAGATAAACTGCTGCAGATGTCCGGGACGCTTTTTCCTCAGGGAACGTTGAAGATCACGCTTCAGAACCTGAAAAACAAATGTTTAATGGTTGTTAAACCAGTTGTTTCATTGATTGGATTTGGATTTGAATCATGGCCATGGAGTTATAATTATATTGACAGTGAACAACATTTAAATACTTTAATTTAAAAATAAAATTCACAGTATGATGTATTATTAGAACAAATGATATCTTACCTTTGCAATGTAAACGGCATTAATTCTCTGGCCAATGGGAACAAAATGGGTTAACACCATTCCTCTAATGTCAAAGAATGTCACAACCATTTGTTTCTTTTGTGGAATTCCTGGTACTATTTTAGGCTTGGTTGGTGTTGGGGAGTTGTCATGTTTCCACGATGAACTTTGTTGCGTGGTCTCTGGGATGTAGAATGATAGCAATGATTCGTCACTCGTAATGATCTTGTTAAGAAAGTCATCTCCATCTCTCCGATATTTTGCAAGAAAGTCCCTTGAAGCCTTAACACGCCGGTCTTTCTGCTCCTGTGTCAAGTCATGCGGCACCCATTTAGCAGACACCTTCTTTAACAGACAGTTCTTTGTCAGTATCCGTTGCACAGTCCCATAGCTCAGATCGTGTTTTTCAGCCAATTCTCTGATAGAAATTTGCCTATTGTCCATAACATCAGCTTCAATTGCTTTGATGGTTTGATCATCGAATGACGACACTGGCCTGCCTCCTCGCTGCTTGTCTACCACTTCATCATATCCACTGGAATACTTGTTAAACCACCTGTAAATGTTTCTCTCAGCAATGGCAGCTTTACCATATGCCTTCTTTATCTGTCTTATAGTCTCTTTTACACCTTTCCCCAACTTTACACAGAACTTAATGTTTGTTCTTTGCTCTATTTTACTCTGACTTGGCGCCATCTTGAATTGGGTGGGTTAGTGTCCTTGGTCATGTTAGTATTTGTCATGGATGATGGAAGCAATTCAAAGAAATTGAAAGCTTTTTATGAATGCCTATTGTGACATCACAACTATTACATATTTGTTACCATGGCAACAAATATAAAAATCATAGAAAACAAACAATGAACATTTTCAAATGTTACTGACTTTTTAAATTAGAGAAATTCACAAAAACGTTATGGTTTCTCTTCAATTTGCCCCGGGTTACGCGATATCGGGTTACTATAGCAACCATAATTTCAACCAATGAAATGATTGAATTCCAATCTTTGAGATGGTAACTCAGAAATGTTGTGGGTACATGTATACCAAATTTCATGAAGATCTGATGAATACTTTTGAAATTACAATGTCTTTGACGTTACTTCTGGATCACCCTGTATAACAAGGTATATAATGATACATGTAGTGTACTTGTAGTACATTGCAATACACTGAGTACAGTACAGTACAGTACAGTACAACATAAAACAATACAGTGCAAGGGGTGAAATGTCCAGGGGGTGAAATGTCTAAGGGATGAAATGTCTAGGGGTGGAATGTCCAAAGGGTGAAATGTCCAGGGGGTGAAATGTCTAAGGGGTGAACCATCCAGGGGGAGAAACCTCCAAGGGGTGAACAGTCTAGGGGTGAAACGTCCAGGGGGTGAAACATCTAGAAAGCCAATATTGTGCAGTACAGTACAGTACAGTACAACTCAATACATTAAAGTACAGTAAATGAGGAACAATGCAATACAGCATTGTAACACAAAAAGTAGGTTGACACAGCATAACATCAAGTACAAGACTTTCTTACAGTACTTCAGAAAACCCTGATGGAGAAACATCCGATGTCACCATATTGAATTATTTATCAAACTGTCAAGTACTGGAGTTTCATTTTCAATTCTGCAATACAATAGCAAGCAATGCTTCAAAGCAAGCAGAATCACAAGTGTAGTGAATTACAGTACATACATGTACAGCTCTATTGTTTAAGTGAAAAACTAATAAAACATACAGTTTAAAGACATGTTGATAAATAAGTGACTGAACTTTGCTTGGTAAATTTTTTGTTCATTTTATTTTAGAGGAAAAATAATGGTTTTGCATTCAATTAACAAATGATCCTATTTTTGGACCACCCTGTATATAGTTAAAGTGAAAAAACCTAATAACATACAGTTTAAAGACATGTTGAGGACCTCCAGAAAGTTGCCCTCTGCAGCAGTTGAATTCCTCGCCTGTGGGATCTTTTGATTGGGGTACTCTGCCTTGTGATAGTTTAGCACACGATCTGGATATTCAATGAATAACTCCTTCAGCTTTATTATAGTTGATGTCCAGTCTTCAAACCTTTCATTCTGTATTACAACCCTGGAGAGGAAATGATTAAATATTCTAATTTGATTGGTCAATAGATGGCGGAGTGGTGATAGATAATTGCACGATCAATATACTTATGTTTTCTGCTTATAACTCCAGTATCGATTACAGTAGATGCCTCATCTTCAAATATTTCAATCTGTATGACCATTTTATTAACCATTTTGAAATTTAAATTCTGTCTTGAATTTACGAACAAATTAGATCATCTATGAACAAATTAGATAATTTATTAACAAATTAAATTCAAAATTTTACCACATGATTTATGTTTCTAACTTGATAATTGTTTATATAATGGCCTCTTATAACTCAAGGATAATACGAAAAAATATAACATTCAAATACTGTAATGTCAAGATATGGTGTTTAAATAAACAAATGCGTACCTGCAAAAGTCCTCATAGTATCTACCCTGATAGTCAACTTGGATACACTCTCTCATGCCTTCGGGGAACTCATCTGTAATCAATAAGAAATGGACGCTTTTCCACATGGATGCTTTTTATTGACAAATCTCTCTGATTTTTTTACCAGAAATACATCATTCAAGTATCTATCAACTCTGAGGATTTCTCGTAATAAGCATTTTTTATGAAATATTTCTGTAGTAATCATCTTCACAGAATGATCGGGTCAGTTATTAATTTAGAACAGTAAAATCTGCCTTATTATCCAAATGGGACTAGCCAAAAGTGCTCAGATTACCAAGTGTTCACATTTCAAGGTTTCTTCAGTGGGAGATTACAAAATTGAGACAGAGAATTGATCAGATATAGACTGAGGATTTACTGTAAACATACTAAACATTACATTATCATTTAAACTCATACCAAGTGTGAAATGTCACTTAAAATTTCAAAATATTTCAACTCAATTTTTTATTTCACAAACACCCCAAATATGCATGACTGCTGACAGTTTATTTTTGTATGATATAATAATAGTGGTATCACCATGTATGTGTTATATAAATCACAATTACATCACTTTTACCTAAAGAATGTGCGTCATAGAATGTCCGCGAGAACATAACAATTGTGACGTCATGACAGCATCCTTTCTCTTGCCACTTGGCGAACATGTCTTTAAGGAAGCCGTTAACAGCTTTCTCGAAGTAGAGATCTCCATATGGGTCAAAGTCCCACATCTCGAGACTCATTTGTATAAAAAGGTTGTAAACCGCTGTCAGGGATCTGTATGCCAACTGAAACATGACATCATATATAAAACATTTGACATCACTTATAAAACATGACATCATATCTTTGAATAATTTCTGTAAAATGGAGTACTTCAATCCTGCATAGACTTATTTTTTCACAAGTTACACAAAGATTTAATTCCCAAATTGGAAACAACAATCATATGAAACTGCAAGTAATAGTAAGTATGTAAGTCATTATATTCATGCCAAAGAGAACAGTGTGATCCAGGAATTAGCATGAAAACATGTGAAATATTGAGAAATTCTGCATGAAAAAACAAAGAGAAAGTGTTTATATTGAGAGGTGTTCATATTACAGAGGTTTTCAGGTATACAGGTTTAACTATATTGTATTGTGAGGTTTTATAAGGCAGCATAGATCTCTCACAGTTCTAATATTAAACAATGAAAATTCTCACCCTAGTATCATCTGTAACTACCCCACAGGTGACCTTCTCCCCCTTGGCCCACATCTCACCAACTTTGGCACTGAAATCATGAAATACAGTTTCAAACCTTTACAACACTGATTTATTTCAAGACGATTATATGGAATCATTCTTTTAAATGGGAAATCAATTTCACTTTGTGTAAATGTGATTCTGTATGGGCTACAATATATCGCCCTATGGTTCATGATGAAGATTTTAGAGTAAATTATAAATTTTGAAAATACCTCATTTGAGCAAACTCCAGTTTCTTTGTCAGATAAACACAGCTGTTCACCTGGAAATTATTTTAAAGAAAATCAATAAACAACAAAATGTAATCAAATTTAAATTTGTTTCATGAACGACTCGAAGACATAATCCTAATCCTAACTACCCACCAGTTTGCACCTCAATCTCCACATCTCACTCCTGCCAAAGTATTGATCCTTGAAGTTTAACTCAACCAGGTCCAAAGCGACATCCTGAAATAACAGTCAGTTAGGGGTCATCTCAAATGTGCAGTAATTTGAGAAGTAAGCCATATATGGTGAGGAGTGAAATTCACAATTACGCAATTTAAAGGAGTTTAATAGTTAAGAGCCATAATAGTAAGCAAATTATTAATCAAAATCCATAGTGCAATAGTTAAGACAAGTGTACTATATCTTTGGGTTGATCTTGTTCACATAGACACTAGGAATGTAAATCTGAATATAAACGATGGACGGCAGACTCATAAGGATTAAAACAATAGTGTACTATACCTTTGGGTTGATCTTGTTCACATAGACATCTTGGAAAGTTCTCAGTTTAAACTCTTGAGCTATTGCCTGATTAATGCTGACAGTTTCTACAAAATGCACATTAACAATATATGAAAATCTTATATGTACACAGACAACCCCCTCTAAATAATATGAATGCTTTCTCTAAATTTTATCTAAGTATCAATTCAATAACCTGAAGGTTGTGTTGTACGGTAATAATGGTTAAAGGGTTGTAACCTTTACTTGAACTTAAAAATGTGAAAATATAATTTTACTCTATTATATATTCCAGAAAAGAACTTTCAAAATGGGGGATTCACTGATAAGGGTTAGTCATTGGACTAGCCATGAGTAAAATGGAATATGAGTGGAATTAAATACAAAACTTTTTATATCACCCCATCTCCAACTTGTTACCTTTGTTGGTCGACTGCTCTTCCTTCTGTGCCTTGACCTGCAGTAACAACCGACTAAAATAGAAGAAAATAATGAAATTATTAAATCATGCTTACATTGTATAAGATGAGACATTGAAGATTTTAAAGCATAACTTAATGCTCACTTATATTTTTAGTGGGGGGGGGGTCAATCTTAATTTATGCCTCTAATTTATGTTACTAATAATGCTTGAGATAGAATTGATATGTTCCCTTAGTTCACTTACTACATCACCTGGGGACGAGTTAAAAATTCAAAACTTTCAAAACATGACACTTTTGTACCCCCTGACCTCTAAATGTGATTGTTCATTTTTGTAGCTCTGTACCTACCTATATCCATCCTCTGGGTGGTATATCTCAACAATATTGTACCTACCTGTATCCATCCTCTGGGTGGTATATCTCAACAATATTGTACCTACCTGTATCCATCCTCTGGGTGGTATATCTCAACAATATCGCCAATGCATACATCTGGGAATTCCTTCAAGTTCAATACCAGCTCATCCTCTACAATACATTAAACTAATAAAACACATTGCAGACTCATGGATTGAAAATTTTAGTTTGGACTTCAGTCTGCAACACTGCTTCAAAGCAACCAGTTGAACCTAAAAATCTAATGGCTATTTTTCATATTTTATCTCATGGATATTGTGCTAAATGCTCAATGGTTGATGCAACAAAGGTGATAGGGTTTCATTGAAATGTGTGTTCTAACCTCAATAAGATAAGTAATCTTTAAGTTACTGTTTCAAATTATAGGAACAGAGTCAGGCCATGAAAAAAGTATTAGCTAAACTTGTAATAAGTGATTTGATTGGTCACTGTTGACCACTAACAGTGAAAATGAGGAGGCGCGATAATACCCCCATAGTGAAAATGAATCAGTTTTAGGTGTAACATGAAGAATAGAATGTCATATAATTCTTTGGAAAATATTAAAGTGCTTGGGCACACATACCCTGCGTGCAGAGTCTAGTTAAACTACACTCTGCCTTGTAGAGACCATAATACAGTTTAGTAGCCCCGCCTCAACGACGGGTACCGGTGACAGTTTGGGTAAATCACTTTTGACCTACGCGCTAACCTTCAACCAATCAAGGAGGTTGAAGAAAAATACACCAAATGCGTTCTTATTAAATATGCGCATGTCATTGGTCAATTCCGGGCTCAACGATGACGTCAGCAGGAATGACCATATAAGGAACGTCGGTCAAATTTGGCCGACGAACACTCATTGGCGCGGTGAGTTCACATGTTTATTTTAGTTTGAAAGAGTGAAGACGAAGCTCTCTTTTAAGAAGTGAAGTCAAACGAATGCAAAGGGTAGGGCACACATAGGCTTAGAGGTAATTTAGTTCAGTAAGGTTGTAAGGCCATTCGTTTCCAAAAAAAGAAAAGAAAAACTGTCTGAAACAAAAATTGTGGTCATTAAAAGGAAAAAAGAATCAAATCAGTTTTTTTCATTTTTTCTTTATTTCTAGAAATGAATTCAAATTTTCAAAGCTCCTATCATTTAAAGCAATATGTTGGGCACATTTTCTGAAAAATTCAAATAAAATCTAAAATCCACATGGTTTTTTCATTTCCTGTTTGATGTAAATTTCTGACCCCGAGACCTAAACCTGAATCAAATCACTTGTGGAAGAAGGAAGGAACTTTGTGGATGATGTCTGGAACCGTGCGTTAGGAGGATGTACAAATGCAGAACTGAAGTTGTCAACCTGTGTGTTTCTTTCTTAGCCACAGTGAACAGAATTTTCTTCGTATTATTATTTTAACTACAAATGCGGAATCTTTTTCTTCAAAAATATCAATGTTTTTCATATGGATAATACACATTTTTATGAATTTGGCAGACATACAGGCCTGTGATAACATCCAAAAGGATCTAGAAACATATTTCATACCTCAATCTAACCAAACCCATCTGGCCCAGTTATCTACTCTCGAAGTCGTAGAGTAGATAACTGGGCCAGACAGGTTTGGTTAACCTCAATCTTGCTAGTATTATAGATATTACTGCAAATGTAAGCACTGCAAAATTCGTAAAGCGCTACTCGCTCCACCTCATGACCAATCAGATTGCATGACGCATGTGCAGGATACGTGTAGAAATGAAATTCTACATGGATCTTTCCAAACCTGATATTTATCACTTATTATATTGAACTTCCCACTTCAGTAGTCTACTTGGCATTTGTTGAAGCAACAAAGATCTAGCAAACAAAAGACTTACCACTGAACTGTTTCTGATGAACTATAAGTTTGAACGACTTCATTGCAATAGATATCTGTGCAGTTGATCAACCATACTCTAATGTAAAGGACAAACTATCCATGTGAAAATAAAATCAAGAAATGTTAAAAATTTTATTTTGATTTACGGAGTGAATAATCTTTCAGAATTAAATCATTTGACTATAGGAGATAAATATAGAAATCATAAATTGTGTTTATAAAGTAATTTGTTTTGAGAAATATTTCATGATATATAATCAAACTTGTAATAATGTATATGTTGATTTTTCTCAATCCTATTCACTGCGGGACTAGCTTCTTGAAAATGTGAAAAAATGTCCAAGAAACATTATCTTTAAAATTTGACAATTACAGTTCTCGTCGGAGATAGATGATCATTATTTGATCGTGAAATATTTTCGGAATATGTTTTCATCAATTAGGACTGTCCTTCATAGTGCAAAATGCACTGTTAAAGCTGCAAGTCCATTCTTCAATGGTAGGATATTTTTTCATTTGGCGTCTCACACTCTAGGACGGCGTTCTTTACTATTGAGACTTTTCTTAGGGCCGTTATTGAGTTTAACCTCTTTACTATTCTTTCCTTTGATGCAAGTTCTGGATCCATCGAAACCATTTTGCCGCGATAACATGCAATTGGTACTTGACAATAATATAAAAACACATAACATCAAGCGATTTAACACAATATTATTGTGTTAAATGTTCATTTATACTCGTAAAATGAGGCTACACTTACCGATCTCTAAAATGACATTTCCGCATGTTCGTAGATTGTGTCTGTTCGTCCGAGTGTCCCGGATCGTAAAATTAAACTACTAGCGAAACGAAATTGTTGTTTATTATCGCGATTACTCACATTAAAAGATAAATTTTGAGGATAACAGGTATCTTTGATTGATTTATATAGCGCGTGTATACACACAAAATAGTTATTAATTGCAAACCTACTGTTTGTAAATGCAGTGCCGCGATGACGGTTAATTTCTGATACGATTTGCAATTTCGATGTAACCGAAACTGACCGACGTTTTCGTTATATTCCAAACCTGTCTCCAATATTTTCGTAATTATGCATCAATGGGGTCTAAGGGGGATACGGGATGGTGTGTATGTATTCGTAAGGTATGTATGCATGCTTGAATCACATTCTTTGTGTAATATTACCATGGTTTCAGGGTTTAATTAGTTCTGCTTGTCGAAACCTGCGGAACGATTAAATAATCGCATCAAGGGCAAAATGATCATGGAGGTTAGACCTAGCCAGGGTCATAAGACATGTCAGATAAGAAACGAGGCCCAGGCTAGGTCTAATGTTGTTGGACTACTCACACTCTGGAGTCTTGTCTATGTCAATATTCTGCAAAAGGCTAATAGCCCATATTGAAGCAGTATATATAGACTTTAAGCTGCTTTTCACAATGCAACCGCGAACACAAAGTCCATGAATCAATACAGTAATGTATATAGCGGCACAAACAATACAAAACATTAGCGCTAAAATAGTAATTTGTGTGTCGTCGCTTTGGACACACTGAACAAACTGTTCATTCATGCTTACTTGCCATGGAAATATTGAGGCACCATAAGCACTGAACAAATTGCTTGGAGATTGAAGATCGAGTTTGAACCATTGGAGCCAATCTTAAGATAATACCCGAAACTTTACATTACTAAGTTACAAGGCCGTCTCTGTAATCTCGGTTTGCATCAGTATATGTGTAGCAAATTTGAACTTTAATGTTGCCTTTATTGTATGTTGCAAGAAACCCCCTATGTAGGGGGGGGGGGGGGTCGGGAATTTAACAGGGACTATTGATTCCAGAGGTTTGGATTTTGAAGTAGCACTTCATCCTGGGAGTAGTGGACTTTTGAAATGTCAATTAGAAGTTTGATATTATGGAATTTGACAACCCAAGTTTTATCTATTCCAGGCAGATCTTTGAATAGAGCAGCAATGCAGCATAAAGCTTTTTACTTTTATCTTCCAGATGGTAGGAGTGCCTATTGGCGTGTCGTCAGCACAGCAAATTTACAGCACTTTGATCCCCCAGAGGAGTTTGATGGTAAGTGAATTCTTTATACCATGTAATATTTATGAACAAAAATAAAAAGTGATTTTGGTACAAGCTAGTGGTGGAAGTCATTTTAAGTCTTCATTCCTGAATGAATTAATGACTTCCAAAACAGTCTACTGATGATTAAGGTTCACTGGTTAGTATCAAGCAAAGGTCACGCGTATATGATTCAGTGGGCTAAACAAACAATCAATTTGGAAGGGCCTATTGAATAAATCCTACCGCTGCTAAATGCATAAGTATGAAATCATTCTGGTAAACAAATTACGAGACAAAGTCTATAAATATGAAATCAACCCGAAGAAATGTTCCTCTACAGAAAAAGTCTCTTTATCCTTAATTTGTTATCATTAATTTCCAGAAAAAAGTCTCTTTATCCTTAATTTGTTATCATTAATTTACATTGACAGATGTTACCTTTCCTGAGCGTCGTAAATTAAAATTGATGCTAAAGGTTCCACTTTTTATTGGGAATGAACGACCAAGAAGACAATTCAAGCGCATCATTGACATAAGAGGCCCTGAAGAGGTGCACACTAAACTAACGCATGGAAAATATGGAATAGTGGTAAGTGGATTTGTAGGATAAAATGAAGTTCTAATAAAATTAGTTGGACCCTTAACTATCAAATGTTATACATTTATGTTAAATTCAAGTGATTTACTGAGGTTTTTGGCTCACACAGTGAGCATATGGGATTGACCAGGCGTCCGTCCGTCCGTCCGTTGGTCCGTCCGTCAACATTGGCCGCACAAATTAAAACTGCTATTCGGATTGAGTCATATCCACATTCATTTTATGCATATCCATAATGCCTATTTGACCTATCATCGCCATTTCCAAAGTTCGCCCGGTTTCCGAGAAATTGCGGATTTTGACGTCAAAAAGTCAAATTTTCTGTAAATACTAGACACTCTGTTGAAGTAGAACTTTCAAATAACTTTTAGTAGTTGGTGTATATGCAATTTATGTCCTCTGAAGATTTCAAAGCTCTTGGAATTACGGTTTTTGGTGTTTACTCTATAAAATTTGAGAAAAAGTAGGACTGCGTCATTTTCAGGAAACTTTCTCATGTATAAAGTCAATGGCAGGTTTTGTGATTGACAAGATTTTTAAAGTTTGCCTTATACTTGATCATTTCCTGCAATAAATTACATCATTAATAGATTTAAGCATTCCCTACATATTTCTCCATATATGTCAGCATCAAATTTTTACTGTTTTTGAGATATTTGACATAAAAAAACAGTAAAAATAAGTTATTTTTCAACTTGCTTCAATTTGACCAAATTTTTTTTTGAAAATCATCTACAAGTTGCCAGCAGTTCAAATCTGACATTAGTTTTAGGATTTGACCTTTACTTGACCTTCAGTGACCTTCGAAAGGTCAAAAAAGTTGATTTTTCAAATTGATTTTTGGATGTAAATTTTGGTCAGCTTAATCACAAAAGACCTTACTGAGCTCTGAATAAGTAAAATTTTCAAGGTCATATGTCATCAAACTAGGTCACACAACTATGCTATCTAAGTTTCTCAAAGTTCGAGACTACAAATCCAAATCAATATTTTTGTTTGAAAGTCAGGATATAAATTCCTCTAAAGGTTCCAAACTGTGTGAGCACTTGACCGTGGGTCCTTCATTCAGATTTAGCCATCTAGAGGTAAAAAATATAACTGCTTCAAAATCTATATCCTTACATGTAGTTTGATCTAATGGGAGTCATATAGGCAGCAGCTTACTATTTTCTCCTTGTTTTATATTTTCTTTACACCTTTTCCATTGGTTTGTGTGCATTCACAAGTTGTATTAAACTTTAACTTACTAAACAAATGAAATTAATATTTCAGTTCTCACATGTTTTAAGTTTCAATATCATAATAAATTAAAAGAATATCATAAAATTTTCAATATCTATTTTCCAGGCCCAAGGGGGAGGATACTTACGTCATGGCCATATAGAGATGATACGCTTGGGAATCAACAAAAGAATGGATGAAAAACGTATGTTTGCGCTATGGCGAATTGATCCAGTATGGAAACCCGTCACCAAGAAAGGAACAGGACATCGTATGGGTGGCGGCAAAGGAAATATCGACTACTATGTCAGCCCTATAAGACATGGACGTGTTATTGTAGAAGTTGGTGGAAAATGTGAGTTCTCGGAGGTTGAGTACATGCTAAAAACAGTGGCCCATCAACTACCTTTTGAGGCCAAGGTAGTGAGTAAGGAAAGTTTGGAAGAGGACATTAAATGTGAAGAGGATATTAAGAAGAATAATATTAATCCATTTACTTTCGAGTACATTGCGGAGAACAATATTTTAGGATGTCATAAATGGCTAGGAAGATATGATAGAATATTTAAAGGAAAATATAGATGAACGATATATAATGTTAAATGATTAAAGTGGTACTCAAGAAACTGTGAAATACGTACATGTATATTCGACTGAGTTACAGCAATAAATCTAATGTAACATATAAAACATGATAGAAACCTTGTTGACTCGAAATTCATGAATTTGATATTAAGGCCAGATTTTTGATTAATGATGATGTTCTCATCTTTTGAATTTATGATGATCGTTATGAAAACAATTTTGTTCAAACAAGCAAATTATAAGAAATTTTTGCAGGGTGGATTCTTTCACTGGTTTCATTTTGTATCACCAGTTGTGGCGAAATAAAAAAGTTTTGTGAAAAAATATACAATTCTGTACTGTACTGTACTTTTGCATAGCAGTGATCAGACGAATTGAATAGCATTCAATATTCTAAAACTAAGACGTTAACATGTTAAAAATGTCACTTTCTGGAAAAGAGTTGCAACGTATTAGATGCCAATGCTAGCAAAATAGATGATTTAAATAGGTACCCTTTTTGATATAATTATGTCATCACCGGTCTAAGACCTCATGACTAATAAATTACGTATTATAGCCAGCTTTTTTTTACTCGAGTGGGTTTTAGTGGTCTGTATCTGTAACAAACATCTACTCTTTTGTAATTTTTAACCATAACTTACAAGGTGGTGACATTATTGTTCAACTTGACAAGGTGGAGTTCATTATCTAGTCAAATGGAATTATTTATTGTCAGAGATGAGTGCACCCTATGCCATATATCACACACTTCTGGTAGACTTATTTTGGCAGAACCATTTGTCGGCACATTTTGGGTGACAGAAAATATGTCATTTTGTTTGCTGAAATGATGTAAAAAAGGATGAGTGCAAGTTTACAAAAAAAAGTTCTGTGTTTTGAATTGTAGACCAGGAAAAAACAATTAATTCAATGCTTTAGACTGTGACAGAGGACAATTTAGATTATTTTTTTATTGCCACAATGCCCTGGATTCAATGCTGTCATTGGGATCTGTAAGAAGTTGTTACTCTTTTGTAATAATTACAGCAAGTTACATTTACATGTTACATTTCGTAATAAACAGTATTATGGCACTCTTTTAGAAATGTTTTGCTATTGATTTGAATTCTTAATTTATTGCACGCCCTTTGATGATGGAGATTCAACGCCCAGTTGCTAGTGATTAACGTTCCTACTGTAGCAACCTTCAAAAATTACCTTGAGAACCATGTCAGATGACAGGTATTGAAGATAAAGTTGATTTAACTCATTCCATAGTCTGCAGTTAGAATTTTTAAATATAGTAAACAGGCATACATTTGCTGCATGCTTGTAATTTGTAGTTTTTGTTTACACAGACTGATTTGCAATTTTATGATACCATAAAGAGTAGAAAAAATAGATATATCCACTTCGATAGGCCTTCACTGGTGATCCACTCGATTACGCTGGTTACCGAAACGGTTCGTTTCGGTAACAAAATGTCGGAACGTCGAAGGTACGATTTTTCTTTTTTCCTTATTTCACGCGTTGTAGGCAGAATCCCCACGACATTTTTTCTCACAAATGCGTATCGGTATCATATGTTTTAAAAATGTACATGTTTGCGAAAAAATAGCTCAGAAGACAACAGAATCGTCGTTTTAATTCCTCACTTAAAGGGTGACGCATATCGTTTAGCAAACCCTCGTTTCTGGTGTTGCTCACCGTTTAGTATAAAAGGTCCGATCCCGGAATAATACTCAAGGGTTCACAGGCTCGAGGTCGTTGTGTCAACACCTCTAACTGTTATATAGCATAAATATATTATAGATCGTCACACATTTATAAAAGGGTGATTTTTATTTTGACAAATCAATTCCACATTTTTGGGTGAAGTTTCAGGATCGTCTATTTGTGTATAATAAGGAAAAATTGAAATCTAAACCCCATAACGTAATAGCACACCGCTTGGCATATGAAATATCCTACAAATGAAACAAAGCAGTTCTAATACAAGGATTTATATTGGCTGTTGTACATATTCTTTGAACGCAATCACTCTATGGATAACGTTTTCAAAATCATTATAAACGGATTACTTTATCTCAAAGACAATTTCAATAAACTGGATTTTATAGAACTCCCCTTATTTCTTAAAAATGGACTGATCCAGAAGCCGCCATATTGTTTTTATACGGGAAGCTTATCGGAACCCTTTAAGTTACATAAACGGTATGGGTCAAAAGTGCAGATCTCAACTGTTTTTTGAAATATCGTTTATGTAACTTAAGTGAGGAATTAAATCGACGATTCTGTTGTCTTCTGAACTATTTGTTCTCAAATATGTACATTTTCTTAAAAATATGATACTGATACACGTTTGTGATAAAAAATGTCGTGCGAATTCTGCCTACAACGTGTGAAATAAGGAAAAAAGAAAAATCGTACCTTCGACGTTCCGACATTTTGTTACCGAAACGGTTCCAGCGTAATCACCAGTGAAGTAGAGATACATGTATACTGTACATGTTCGTCTGAAACAATCAGTCAATCCACAGTCTCCAGGTTTGAAACTGGGGGATCATTAAGTACAATTAATTAATTGTTAATAAAATGAAGTTAATAAAATATCTTTCATACTGTAATAAAAGTAAGTAATAATCCTAATCCCCGTATCAATTTGTTATTCAGTGAAATCACACTATGCGCTTAAGGGTTCAACTATTCTTTATACTGTATTCAGGTGTAGGCTAATCACGATTGTCAATTTTGAAAAGGGGTTCGATTGAAACGCACGTTCTCTCTTATAAAATGTAAGATATATTAAGAATCTTAATGTATTTCACATTTGAAACTGCTCCCTCACAGCGGACTAACAAAATAAGTAGACCCAATTCATCTAGTTCTTATTAATCTCATAAACCGACTGATTTGGTTTACATGAGAATGACGACTTTCAAATATTCATCAAATTTATCATTAATTTTCGACCTATATATTATTATTGAGGAAAAAATGGGAAAATTTGGAGGCATTGGAAATGAAGTCAAATTACATTTCCATCAATACCATATAATTATTTTCCTCGCAGGTTCATTGGGGTTCATGGAAATAAAAATTCAAACATAAAGAGGCTTTAACACGTAATTCAATGAGGGAGCTAAAGTTGCCAAACTTATGGAGGGGAGTGTATATCATGTTGAGAAAGGATTTCAAATTACTGCGTAGTGACAGAATACTTGTTGGGGAATTGGACAAGAACAAAATGATTGTAACTCTGTAATAAACCCAATATCAGATCATTTCTTGTGATATCATTTATCGCCTCGTTGATATTAACTCGGCGATGAAAATGATATCACTCAAAATGATGTGATATTCTATATAATTGTTTTGATATTTTATACAATACATACCGTAAACTATTAGAATCCATGGTATTATTAAAAAACATGTATTGTCCATATTCTTCAGTAAATGTTGCTTTGATATAAAAATTGAAAATAACTCTATTTTATACAAATCACTGTCAAATTGTAGAAACATCAACTAGGAATTAGAAAAATAGAGAAACTCCTCAGAATCATTTGACAGTACATCTATAGCTATATACCGTGTATACATGCAATAATACAGGGTGACCCGAAAAACGTTACCCCCTAGTTTTGGGATAACTTTCTCAATTAAGGAATCTTCATGAATTTTTTTCTGTATAGAGAGAGAGTTCAATTCATGAAACATTAAATTCATAAAGATTTCATCATACTGTATTTGAGAAAGTTATTCCAATATTAGAGGGCAACATATTTTGGTCACCCTGTATTCAACAGGCGCCATTATTATGTTGAAACATTTTTGTATACTGAAACTACAATATAAGCTGCATATCAGGAAATACTCAATTAGTTAAGTGGCAACAAAGAATCGAGGTTGAAATAATCATAAGTGGTTGACAAAATTGTGTTCATTTACCTCGTCTTTAGTCTTCATTGCCCCTTTAAAAATTATCTCACCTTTCAATTGGATTTAAAGCTACATTTATATTATCAAAATAAGTAAGTACGTAATATATATAAGAAGTATATATTAGCATATGTTGGAACAAGTGGTTGATTATAATGTGACTCACTCATGTGAATTTTACAATAATATTGAAATATTATTTCATTCATATTTTAATATACAGGGTGTCAAATAAGTCCTGTCTCCCCAGCTACAGCTAAAATCGTAATTAATGGTACACAGTGTGGTATTCCATTGAAAAGATCGTCCAAAACAAATTACGTTAACTCACCCAGTCATTAGTATTTTTGATGAAATTAACCTATATTTATTTAATGTCCTTTACAGTAAGTGTGTCCTCTTCAAGCAGCTTTAATTGCGTCAAATTGAGAAGGATTTGACCACAGAAATATGTCAAAAAGTTAATATTTTTCGAATTTCGCATCTTTTATAAAAAAGTCTCTACTACTATCCTTGCCCCTCTAATTTCTACACATCTAACCCTATCCAGAAATTGGTTAAATTCACTGCCATATACGTATGTTATCATCCTGAGCTCCTTTGACGTTTCTCGCGATTGATTCTTAAAATCCTGCCAAATACGTATCATGATAAACCATGACATCTCATTTCCTCTCAGCCCTTCAAGTGAAACAGAAAGATGCTATGAGTATCAGAATGCCAAATACGCCAAATTGCCATGTTTCTAGGTCTATGGTCACCTCAAATCATGCAATGTAAAAAATTGTGACATTAATTGACGGGTTTCAGATATTTGCTAATCAACGTAACTTTCGAAGATCTTTCCAATGATACACCACACTTGATACCATATACTGTCTAGTATAGATATGTAGATACCATATAAATGTAGTATCTTGGTTTTGGCTATAGAGAGAGGGGGAGGGCGGGACTTATTTGACACCCTGTATAAGGAATATATAAATGAATAAAACTTCTGGGCATTATCACTATATGCCCATCCATCGATTTCCAATTCTGTAACTGAAATTTTCCCTAATGCCAATTCAAAGGCAAAATAAAAGGGAACGTTTATATACACACCAATGATGTCATGTTTTTATCTGTGATAAGTGTGATGCAAAACTACCATAAAACACCGGTGTTATGTAAAATTTCCCTATAATTAAATAGGCCATTTTAAAGTTTAAATTACCAACTGTAAACACTAAAAATTTAAGGTATTCAGGGACTTCAGAGGGTTTTGCCCCATTATTGTATGTTAGTGAAAAGGGCATATATGGGTAATTTACATAAAAGATTGGAATTAATTATGAGGAATCAATCATTTTTGAGGCACATTTTCAGTGATTATTCTTGAACGCCACCTACCGAAATGCAAATAAAAGCTATTTTATAGAAAGAAAAGCTGAAAGCGAGCCACAACACAGTCCCTTCAGTCTCAAACGATGCCCAGTCCCGTTGCTCTATATCACAGGCAGATTGTTTTTAGCGCTCTCTAAACACCATGTCATAGCGTCTCTTGCCGAGTCCAAGTTTTAGGTCCCTCCAAAACTTCTTTTGTTTCCCTTCTTCTTCACTCCAACGTAAACAGACATTGTGCCTCGCCATCAACGCTAGCGTGTTTGACATCTCTTTCTGTGGTATGTTCTCCATCAGTATCACGATCAGTGTGTGGCGTTTGCTTTGGGTAAGCATATCTATGGCGGACTCCATCTCGAACTCGTTCCAACCCTCTTTCATCCAGCCTCGGGTTACTAAGAATATGATATGAAGGCTTCGATCCATGTGTGTCATGATTCCACTCAAGTAGGATTCCTGCCCTGGGAGGATTTCATGGTCATACATCAAAGTAAATGGGACATCTCCTTTCGTCAATTCTGGCACCATGACGTCAAACAGAAAACGTCTTTTCTCAGAATGGTAGCTAACGAACGCATCATATATTTCCAATTCATCTCCTGCCATGTTATGCCGTGGGGCGTTTCCATGGTGGCGTTTTGCTTTTCTCACCATTAACGCATATCGCATGTCCTTCTTGAAGTATCTTAGCAACGAAGCTGTTATGGTAACTGCAACTATGACGCTAATTACAATGAGGATGATATTCCTTGTTAGCAAATCAGGATTGCAATCTTCCCAAGACAAGTCCAGTTTTCTAAGCTCTTGTTTGGGCTCTCCATTAGATGCGTGGCAGTGTTTATCATGTATCATAACTATGTGTCCGAAAATGTGTTCCGAATTCATCCAATCAACAAATGGTTGATTTTCACAGTTGCAAACCATTAAGTTATTAGTGAGATTGATAAAAGCAGAATTATAGAAAGCATCTGAATAGAGGGCGTTGCCTTCAATGGTGCGAATTGCATTTTCAGATAAATCTAATTTGTATAGCTTATCATGCATATTTGAAAATAAGCCTGCTTGAATATATGTTATTCTATTACGACTTAAATCAAGAAATTCAACGGATACATTTCGAAACATGCAAGATGGAATTCGTGAGAAATGATTTTCCTTCAGTGCAATTTCCACAGCCCGACATTGACTCATGAGAGAACAAAGCTGTTCATCATTATAGCGGAACATTAGATTACCAGACAAATCAATGTGTTCAATGAGAAATCTATTTTTCCTGAAAATATCCACAACTTGGTTGTAATAATTGTCAAAGGTCTCGCCCAGATACGAGAACTCGAACAGACGTATGAGACTTGAAAGATTCGCAAAGTTAAAATACACACGCTGATAATCGAGACGGTATAGAGAAAGTTGAGTGAGATATTGAAAATTATTTAAGTTGACCGTGACGTTATGACGAGCCGACGACATGACAGACACATCATGGATTTGTAGCCTTCCAAGCCATGTTAGTGAAGCAAAAGTATTTGGAGAGATATGTAAAAAGTTAGAAATTTCCAAATCTACGACGCCCTTTATATGTTCAAACGCATCAATTTCAATTGATTCAATCACATTATCTCCAAGATGCAGCATCCGTGGGCCTCCCAATGATGTATTAAGCGGTTGTAAAATTGAAGCATTGAATTTGTCAATGACTAAGCCACAGCCAACAACTTTAAGAGAAACAACTGAACTACCTTGCAAGGAATTTATCAGATTTCTAAAGTTAGCATTACCTAAATTATTATTTCCATTAAACACCAAATTCCAATAAGATCTAACAGGAGAAAATGCACCAGGTTCGATAAAGCGAATGTCATTGTTATCAAGAAACATTGACAATAAGCTTCCTATATGCTGAAATTGTTCAATACCAGCTTTTGTAATATCAGTTATCTGATTATTCTGGAGATGGATTTCTAAATTATATGCTGCTAGAAATCTTTCTCCAGATCCAAGATAAGTAATCCTGTTATTTCGCAAATATACCTTTTCAATCTTAATGAAGAAGTGAAATATATTCTGTGGAATATGAGTCAAACCAATATTGTCAAAATAGATCTCTCGTAAGTCGATAAGTGGTCGAAACGCCCCGGGAATTCTAAGCAAGTCCTGATGACGAACATAGAGATATTCTAGTTTTCTAAACGCAAAAAATGTTCTGAATCCAATATTACGAATCTTACCTAAAGTAAGACTATTCACATTTGGGCAGTGATGTAACATATATTCATTTAAGTTCATAAGTCCTGTTTTCCCAAATGCAACATCGACAATTCCGAGCTGTGTCAAATTATGAAGTCCTCGCAAAGCATCTGGTTCAAGTACAGTAACATTACAAGATCTTAAGAACAGTGCAGTTACTTTCGGCCTACCATAGAATGATCCATTTTTGATTGTACCAAAATTAAACCCTCTTAATTCAATACTAAAATAGGACTTTGGTATACATGCTAAAATGTCCTCCAAACTGATTTCTTTTGATACATCATCTGTTGCAAAACAGGTCCCAGGGTTCAATGTAGAAGGACAAAGCATACCACAGTCAATGACAGCACCTTCCTCGCTGAGTTTATCAATTTGCTGGTTCAGCAAAGGAGTGATGTTTGCATCCCATTGGTCATTCGCATTAAGTTCCTTGTGAATTTGCTCCATGTATTGAATACCTTTGTCTTGGGGTTTAACATTTCGCTGTGCTCTAATCATGTCAGTATCAAGATTCGTATCATACGCCTCAGCATGCATGGCATCTTGGTACATATTTCGTACATGTTCAATTCTTTGACCCTCTGCCCGTCCTATCACCCACAACACAAACGTAGTCTTCAGAATCCGATTCATATTGCCTGAATAAGAATAGTCATTTATTTATTCATTGAAATTATGGTTCTCTAGGGATTACAATGTAGTTCTCCCCCTTCGTACTTTTAACTTGCCTGAATGAAAGTTGTAAAACAAGTTGAAAGTAGGTCCCTTGAACAACCAATTGAGAGAAGGACAGTAATCTAGTCAAGTGTTGCGTCAAGACTGTGGACCCTCCCCCCTTATCTACCTATCCAAACATTGGTGAAGAAAAGATAGAGGGGGGGGGGGGTCTAGGGTCTTGAAGCAAGGCTATAGAGGTCATAATGTTATACATTCGTGTGTGAGTTCCATTGAAACATTTAGCTTAAAGTGTCTCACATATTCGATCAAAATTTGCCATGCAAACATGTTAGTCTACTTTACTGGCCCCCCTTGCTGTAACAAAGAACCCAAAACACATTAAAACGTAAACATAAACCAATTAGTCAATTCACTATGAAAGTGGGGGGTGTTAGCAAATGCACGGTATATAACCCAAACGCTCCTACATGCACGACGGAGCGTTTCATTTACGCGGAAACGCTCCGGAGCGAAATAAAATGGCGGCTTATGAAGATTCCACTATGACCGTAGGTATTGTTCCTCTCGTTAATATTATGTACCATTCGATGAACAATGCCGTGAGCAAAGATCTGATTTATTCAACTTCTGGTGGTAAACTGTTATTTGCTTGATCAAAGCTCCGTAGTGTAGATCGAACAAATCTGAAGATGACGATTTGACCACAAATTACGAATTAAACTAGTATTTCTATGAAAACGTTAATCTTTCTGTTCAAGTAGTAGATCACAAACTCGTATATTCTCATTTCCTAAAATCCCAGTCCAAATCCATTACTTGTTCTCGAGAAATCGCTTGTTTTCCTCGAAACGCTCCGTCGATTTAGAAAACAATTTTAGAAACGCTCTTACCATTTTGTTTTGATATAATTTTCAGATTATTAGAGAAGAGTTTCGAATCGAATCTATCTCTCAAAAACGTGTTGTACTTGTTAGGCAAATTGAAACGTCTGAACCTGGTGGTGCTAAACGTGCAACTAGCTGATTTAAAGGAACATTCCTTGCCAGACTATTTCTCTCCTGATATGGTAGCTACAATCATATATATACTTTACATATTTAGCAAAACACAGGAAATTTTTTTCATATGGTCAATATTGATCATTTAAAAATGTAGTACTCATTCCCAGTAAGCTGCCATATTTTCAGATTTCTTTCAGGAAGTGATGTCATCGACTCTCACCTGTTATAACCTTGCCTATAACAGTATAGGAAAGAAGTACAAAATCACTTCTAAACAAGAAGCCCTTATCTTCTGTGTAAAAATATTTTCAGGAGTTGTCAACTTAGAACTAAGGAAGCGATCATCAAAAGGATTTTAATCATAGACCAAATTGAAAAAAGTATTCAGCTGGTTTAGTAATTCTAATAGCTCCTTACCTAATGTTATATGCAAAGTTGAGAGTCGATGACATCACTTCCTGAGTGAAATTTTAAAAGATGGCAGCCTACTGGAATTGAGCACTACATTTTTAAGTGATCAATATTGACCATTTCAAAACATTTTTCTGTTTTTTGATAAACTTGCAAAGTATGTATATGGTTATAGCTACCATATTAGGACAGAGATGGTGTGTCAAGGAATACCCCTTTAAGCCTACATTAGATGATGTCATGCCTACATATGTGCTAAATCATAAAACTATAGAAAAATGTGAATTAATCTTTCTTCTATTGATGCCAAGGCTATAATAGATCTTTTCTTTCTCTTCCTGAAAAGAAAAGGCAAGCTATATATTTCCTTAACTGATCTAGACTACCGGAGCGTTTCCAGTTCACTGTATTAACCAGATCGGAGCGTTTCTTGAATATGAGAATGTCATCATTTTAAAGACTGGATTTTCGGTCATCAAATCACTATTACGATAATGTATGGTGCGTTGAAGCATTGGAATTTGACTAAAATATACGTTGGTGCTCTAATCTTAGCTCAACTAATCACATGTATCGACAAAAGGGGTTTTGACCGGTAGAATGACAAATACGTTTTTGAATTTTGATAACTATACTGCTTCGTACAGCTGTTCCTAATTGCTTCCAACGTCAACAGCCAGCCAAGTACAACATGAATATCACACCCATCGAATGGTATACTCGAAATATGTAACTCATACCTCTTATTCCCATTATTGGGGAAATCGTCAGACGGCTCATCATTCCCGCCAGTCAGTTTTCCTACTCCGGAGCGTTTCTTTGTTTAATTTCAGTAATGAAACGCTCCGTCGTGCATGTAGGAGCGTTTGGGTTATACACCGTGAAATGTGTTTAGCAGAATACGCTGTGTGCATGGACTAACACAATATCAGTGGTCATTTACTGTGTCAACTTAGTAACCCTTGCATATCGTGCTCACTCAAGTATTGAATAATTTTTTATGATCTAAATGTTTGTGGTTTATAAAAAAAAGTGATATATTTTAGCTAGAAATACATTAATTAATATATTCATTCAAACAGCACTAGAATGCGGGAAGAAAGAGCAATGGTGACAAAATGCAGACAGAATTTTCTGTAAGGGTTTCAAACATTTCTGGACACAATCATACATGTTATTCATGTGTACTATTATTTTTAGTGCTGTATTTATAGATATAATTTCACGTATTAAAATCATATTTTCCAGCAATGACTTCAAATCCGGAACCACACCCATATCACATTTTCTTCAATTACTCCAAACATGTGTAAACATTGACCATGTGCATATGAATTCAGATTTCACGAGCTCTTTCCTATTCGAGTACCTCATACACCCCTGCATGGATTTGAGTTGGATTCGCCTTTTATACGTGAGCCGACACACATCGCAAACGCTGATTGGATAAAGATTGCGAGAATCTTTAACCTCTAGCGCTCTTTCACAAGTCCGGTGATCGGACAAAATGAACGGAGGGTAAGTAGGCGATCTCTGCAAGAAAATCGAACAAATCTGGAAGATTTATTTTTTGAAGAGAAAGTTTACAACTGAATTGCCAAATGAATAGGCGCAGTGCATGGCAAAATATGTTAGGTCATCTAGTATTTTTTTGAACTGATACCCTTCTAAGATATGAGATCTATTAAAAAGGCGCATCGTAACCAACGTACAAAAGTCAATGTTTTTGATATAAATCAGGCAACAATAGTATACACGCGCGACCTGTAATAAATAGGTATAAGGGACGTTACATTTAGTAAGGGAGAATTATTGACAACATAAATAATTAAGTTGTTTACAGACAGATAAGGAACATTTTTATGACGTAAATTCAATTCGAACATGACTGTATTCAGGCCTTCTATAAACTGTAATCAAAGTCAACATTTCACCCAGGGTATATTCGCGAAGAATACCCCTGGTAATACGTGTAATGTGTGACGTCATAACGCTGGGTTTTCATGTTCGAATCGTAATATAGACCTCAGAGCAGGTGTAATATCGTCGAATACACTCCTTAAACAATTGTTAAAGACCCTGTTACGTTGTCAACAATACGCTGCTAATAATACGATAGTCTTACCCAATGTAATCAAGATGTCATATGTGAAACTAAAGATAAAATAAATAATACAGAAGGAAAATTCAAATATTTGAAAATTTAATGACCAACAACTTTTATTTCAACTGGATGAAAAATAATCCGAATGGCTAAAAAATATGAATATATTTTAAAACTTTGCACAGGGCCTTTAATTGAGCGCTCTGCATCTGTACCAGTGAGTGATCATTCGTGACGGAGGATTTGTAGGGTAAAAGCAGACACTATCTTTAAAGTGATGAATTAGTACTTTCAAATACAAGTACATGTACATGTTAATCAATATTTACTACCGATGCCAATAAAAATCAGCATAGAGGGCTTTTCATATGTCATTTTAATGTTTACCAGTTAATGCTTCTCGTTTAGATTATTACACAAAACCAAAACTGACGCATGTTTAAATCTTTTTGATTATCATGATTGTTTGCTCCTCAAAATATAATACTATAAAACATACTTACTATCAAACTAAACTAATTGTTCCTTCAAAATGATCACCTCAATAATTATGTGGGTCCTATTGCTGCTCCTGGGTATTTTGAGCTAAAATACAAGAATGTTTGCTATTATATGCGATCACCTCATTCTAAATTCTTGTTCTTGATTTTCCAATGAGCAAACAATAGTTTTAATTATTGACCATGTAATGAATGAGGTAGTCCAGGGTTTATAGTGCAGACATATGATTTTTACTTACAGTCAAACTCTGGAGAGGTCAATAATGCAATGTGTTTATCAATCAATTTTCATTTTTAAAACAGCTAACTCGACCTGGATGATATTCTGTTTTCACCCTGTTAAAAGTATGGAATATTAAGTTACTTTGAAAGAAACTGGTAAAACGAGAAAAAACTTTCGGACATCACTGCAAAATGTGTCAAAATAAAAGATATCACCTTTATCTTCCAATGATTTGCAGCTAAAACGCATCAGCAACCGCATCCTGGGCTTTCAATAGCAGGGGGCGAGTGTCCGAAATCGCCGTTTGTTTTCGATAATTCGCCGTTTGTTAGAAGTCAAATATTGTCTAAGTTTTGGGGGAAAATATAAGTCTTCTATAGACTATCCTTTATTTTATTCAGCGATCTTGTTTTGCACTTCCTTGTCTATGATTTGTACCTCAGTTTCGAACTGCAATGGAACTCACTATAATCGTAAGGATCACTTGATCTCATTATAGTAGTAAACACCGTCCAATTTTGTACCTGTTTGGGCTATGGATTTTAGATCACTATCTGACCACTATCATGTGCATGATAATTCAAATTCCAACCTTTGGTATAATCAGAGTTGGTTATTTTTCACTGGACATGCAGTTACATGTATGATTGATACAACTCTGTCCAACCAGTCACAGTACAGTCTACCCTGCGTCAGTGCGTGCAGAGTCTAGTTAA